ACAGCTCACCTATGTATGCACCTCTTGCAAACGTGTAAAACACAACCGTGTTTGTCTTGCATCTTGTAACTTATCTGTTGAGGATGTACTACGAAACCTGTTACACTCACTAGATCTATATGCATTACCAGACATCATGGAGCCTTCTCGATATCCACCTCTCTGAGGCCTATTCGTCATCAATGATTGCATTTTGCTCTCAGACGGCTCTATTCTATGGGCGAGATGCAATATACTGGCGAACTTGCTCATAGATAGACTGACGCTATCTTTTACCAGTTTTAGGATATCATCAAACTTTGGCTCGATACCCTCATCCTCCATACGGGAGCTCATCTTCACCCACTTCCTTTGCAGTCGAGTAGGTAGGCGTCTTGCTATTACTTCTAGTATAAAACTCGAGTTGGGGTCACTCATGCAACTCATCGAAATCGATGCATTCTTGTAAATCAGCAAATTATCTAAAAACTCAGTGAGTGCCTGGGAGTCATCCTGTAATTGACCACCATTACCCTTAACAGCCTCGAATAATTTCCCTACAATCATCGAAGGTCTTTCAAACCTTTGACGTAGTATGCTCATAGCCTCGTAGTAGCCCTCTTTTGGCTTCATAAACTTACAGCACTGTATAGCTCTTGCAGCATCTCCAGTGCAATACCTCACCAAATACATTAACTTCATTTCATCACTTAATAAGAGACTACTCAACATGATCTCAAACTCCTTTACAAATTGTAAATAATCGGCCGGGTTTCCATCAAAACACCGTGGTTCAAATTTAGGGAGTTTGATGTTCCTATTATCCCTGGACGGCGACACAGTAACATCAACCATGTCATGCTTAACATCAGACACATCGTTACAATTAACAGACAAGTCACCATGGCTTACTTTCCTGTTTGCATCCAAGACGCTCTGTCCCTTCTTTGACCCAGGCATTGTTGAACTTGACCCAATTCCAAAAAGGTTCCAGATATTGCTTGTTCAAAGAGGACTTGACCGGCACCGCGAAAGATGAATGGTGACTATCCAAACTTTCACCAACTATCGGAATCCGTCAGAAGATGACTCTGACCCATCAGAAACTGTTAGCCTCGTCTCGTAAACCGTCAATGCCCAGCTCTTGCTACGCTGGGACTCACGCTGTTCCCTGAAGTTTCCCAGAAACGCGTAGTAATAACGGACGCAAAACCAAAACACCGATTGGCTACTCGAGAATTCTTTATTGTAACACCAACATATAGGCAACTTTACAACTAATGTTCATGAACAAATATTACAATAATAAATCACAATATTACTTCTGACGGTTGTCTCCTGACTAATTTCTGAACAGCGACCGATGAGACGATGACTGTCATATCGATGCCTCCGCGAAAATTGGGGAAGTTGGTTTTGGGCAAACAACCAAGAATTGATCGTTCAATCTTCAAATACATTGACACTCATTTTATACAAAACATGTGTAGAGCCACTACTAGAATACTGTCAATTTATTATCAGCGGCATTTGCATATGTGTCAAGCTATGGATGGAAATTATGGAACGATATTTCGCCTCTAAACTACTAGGCTACAACTGTAATAAAAACTACATCTCACAGTGTATGATTCTAGATCTTAACCCCCTTTGAACGAGACGACTTATTACAAACCTAGTATTCTTCTTTAAGGTCCTACACAAAACATCATTCTCAGACAATAGGGACATACAGTTGTCGCCGGAAGGCCCTTACGATTTGTGTAGTCAGACTTGAACAGCGACAATTAAATCAACACTCCGCGAGAACTTTTTCACAGTCATGCATTCCAAAACATGGGAGAGCATGCCCCTAGAAGTCAGAACTTGCACCTCTGTTATAAATTTCAAACGTCCTCTGTATAGACTGTTTCATCCTGCTGATTACATTGGCAAACTAAATATTTCTAGAACAAACCGATTATTAGTTTACCGCAGTACTTAAAGAATGCGCGAAATTCCCCTAATTACTCTATAAACGATAAGTAGACTAGTCGCATGAATGCATGAAAAGACTGAGTAGAAGTAAATTTGAATTATTAACACCTTTTAAATACTGAAGGTGCAGATCTGCACCTGTCTGCTGGTTTTCTTGTGTCTTCTTCTCTTTTCAAACATACTGCTTTCTCTACTTATTCGTGATCTTGCTAGCTCATCTGGTGAATAACGGGATCATCGGTATTATAAAATCTGCTGACAAGTTCAAAGTGGGTCTCATAAACAACTGGAAATGTCACAAATATGATGTACTTACGGGTAAATTTAAAGTTTAATAGACTTTAAAACTCTTTCTTAATGATTTACTGATAGTTATTGTTTATTCTGCATCTCTTATGTAATACGTCAGCACCTGTACAGAAATGCCACTTACCTTCCTCAACTAACGCAACCATTTATGGTTCCCGCGTGAAATTGACATGTATTTTTTTTTCAATCACAGTTTAGATTTGACGCTATATCTATTTCCTTATTTGTACACTTCATTTTAAATGTTTCTCTCATATTTACCAGTATTCAACTTATTTCTAAATTAACAAATCATATTATATATTCTATAAGTTTTCATAAATGTACATATGTTCATGCCTGTAAAAATGGCTGGTTTCTGTTACAGAAATAAAAATTATTATTATTATTAAATATGTGTTTACTAGATGGTCATGTAAAACGGATATAAGCAAATATATGCAAACATTAAGGTTCTATTCGTGTCAACATACTTTTAGTTTCCTCTCTAGTACTTTGCTGCTCGCTTCTTCCCTTCTATTTACTTTGTAGTGAAAGTTGCATAGATTTACAGTTAGACTGAAGCTGAGCAAGAATCGCAGTCACTTACTTATATATTATCCTTCAAGGTTTGGCAAGTAATGACTCAGCATCCTTGGAATATCCACTGTCACCAAAACAGGACGCTGTACAGCATCCTATACAAGCAGTATCCATGATCTAAAATGGCCTACAAAGAGCATTCCACATGTTAATCAACCTAATCGTACGGAACAACCATGAAGGGTCAAGTAGCGGCTGACATGGACACAGTAAAACAAATCCATCTGACAATGACCAATATTAGTTTGCATTGAGAACACTTCACTACTGGTGTTACTTATGATGAAAATATTGACGAAATTATACAAATACATCACTTATTTTAAATTAATACCTAATTAAGATATAAGTAAAGGATAATATTCCATGCCGCATACACCAGAGTTATATGGTGGAATTCGCTACAAGCTTAATTTTTCCCCCAAGTATTTGTAATCCATCCAACACACACTTGGGTTTTTTGCTAGTGCGGAGACAATATTTCTATATTTCTTGATGTGCTTCACTGAATGAATAGTTAGCATATCGTACCCACAAACCAAAACAGCAACCATATTATTTCACCATAATAGAAACTTATGTGAATTAAACAATCCTTATCAATGCCTGTAAAACTGATGTGTCCTACATAGATAGGAATATGTCACATTATCTTCACACCATCGTTAGTAAATGCATCCTCGAACAGCCGTAAGCGTTTTATTCTGTCTTCACTAGTTGGGGAGGTGTTGAGAACAGCTCGACTACCAGGTTAAGTAGGTAGTGTAGATAGAGTGCGGGTTTAGCTGTGAAGGTGGCCGTTGAACAACAGTGAGCGTTATTTCTAGTCGAAAACAACTGGAAACCAACTTGAAATCGCTCAAACAGCGTAGCTAACCGGTTTCTTAGAGCACCTTCAGTCCCGAAAAGGGACGCGAATCCCTCAGGAACTGTATGAATTAAGACTGCCAAACTATCAAGGAATTGAAATGCTGAACATAAAACGAAGGACTGGCACATCCGAGTCTATATTGCCTAGCCTCCAAATAAACAGAATCGACGTCATGTCGGCATAAGAAGTAATACGCAGCTTAATCCGCCTGAGGGGTAGTGTGGTAACCCCACCGAGTAAATCTAACAAAATTCATCGTGGAGGAGCAGCAAAAGCAAGGGCTAACTTCTTTTCCGTCAGCGTTTGGCACTGCTCATCGAATTAATGACTATTCCGTTTATTGTTGGCAATGGGAGAAGTCTAGCAGTTTACTCAAAAACTACATTGCATGTGCATGTAAATGGCCGTGGACTAGCTAGCAGAGTTTGTGCTCCTCCACCAACACTTCTTTTATTCTTGTATACTTCATTGTTTTATCGCAATTTTTACTAAAACTCCCATCCCCAGTAGCTCCATTATGTTCTTTTATTTTATTTCTATTATTTATGCTTAATCTCCCACAGTATTACTTGTTCTACATCCAATCTTTTTGCTCCACTTTCCATTTGTTTAGATTAATTATTCTCCAGACATCCCTTGAATTAGGTTGGCAAATCTTTCTCCATAGTGTTTGACAATATAAGCATATGACTTTCTGGCCAAACGAAACTCACAAATATCAGTACTATCACAACCTTAGTACAAATTAATTATCACTATTCAATAAATCAACGACCTACAGTGTCATTAGGTTAAGCAGGACTGCGGCAGTTAAGCAGACAGATTGAAATTTAATCATTCGAAGATTTAGAACCATTCCGAAACAACAATAAGTGAGAGCCAAGAAATCATAAGGTTTAATCAAGTTAGTCAAAAAGATGTTGAAGCTGAATACATGAAGCACCCCAGTATGTATGCCAGAACTGGGTTACTTAAGTCATATCTCTTGGATATTTGTTGAGTCCGTGGGCCAATAAAGCCGAATTTGTGTGACTGTACTTTTACAGAGAGAGAATAGGCCCGTTTCTTGGAGTTACTGTTGGAAACTTACAGCATGGGGAAATTCACTGCTTCATCAAGCCATTCGCTAAACTATGTATTACAGGTTAAAATTTGTCGTTATTACCTCAGAAGAGGTGTTCTTCTTCAGTGATGGATTGTTTTTCATCATTATTTATATGGATTATATCAGTCCTTAAGTTTCCTGTTCAGTGAACTATCGGTCACTGAAATTGCTTCTCACGCGCGGCAAAGCCAATTATGGCGGTAAGTTGTTTGCAACACGGTTTTACTCTTTCTTAATAGGATTTCACTGTTTACCACGGAAGTGGGAAAGGTATTCGATATATTGACATTGTTTTTAACAAAACTATTTATTCGAAGGCCCTGAAGATGTGCCTAACAAGCGATATAACCAGTTTCGTGATACCTGGAAAATTTTAAGTTCCCGTATTGAAGTACGATAGTTATTTTGGTAGATCATAACATATATGTAGGTTCAAACAAGATGTCTTACAACAAACGTCTTTACTGATGTTTATAAATATATTGAAGATTCACATAATTCTTGGTTAACTTCTCATCATTCTGAAGAGCAATGCACTCACAACATTGATCAAATCCCTACAGCTGTTTTATTAGCTGGTGTTAACACCCCCGATCATTCAGTCATTTATGGTCATCTTAAAAACCTAGTGCTGGAAAATCATGGGCATGTTGCCATCATTAGTCCTGGCGCAAATGTGACTAGCGTACGCAGTCTAGTCTCCTTAGTAGTGCAACAGTTATCAAATGACTCCTGTCAAGGTACTTGGTGTGTAAAAGACAGTGATGATGATCATGAAGACCTTCCAGGAATATCCACAACCTCTTCTTTGGTGAGTTATTTTTCTATAACGTCATTTTAACTAATTTTGACATTAAAACGTTAAATATCTTGTAATTGATTGCATATTTTGTTGATTCTTCAGTCATTCTATTGTTTTCAGTTTCATTAAGATAGTATGACTTCACATTAGTCAGGCTTTTCATCCTGAAATTACAGATTTTCTACATTATTTTGTAGTGAAAAGTAGGCATGACTTAACATATTCCACTATTCCCTCGTAAAACGACTATCTGATCATATACATGTTTATGTTCGTTATTTCTTGACAAGCAGACATTAGTCATCTGTAAAGACTTAAGTGTAGTGACCTAAGCGAATGGCCAACAAAATCACTTTAAGCACCATGAAAATCCCCATCAAAAAAAGAAAAGACTTTCAGCAAAAGATTACCCTTTTTGGCTATGTCGTTCTCAAGCGGTACAGTCGCATATATACATGTAGAGAAATTTCTTACCAACAAGAAAAATATTTCCAAAGATGTGTCATTAACTATCAATTCTCAGACAACATTTACGTAGTGTTAATCTGGGGGAAACTGAAATTGGGCGACAATATATTTCAAAGAATTCAACTAAAATTGAGTCAAGTTAGCAACAGCGATAATAAGCTATAGAAATTTAATAGGAGGTGGTGGAAGAAAATACTACGATTCAAAAACAAAAATTGCGTATGTGGTATCACGACACATCATATCCATTGTACTTTTAGTGATTGAATAACAAACTTCTGTTTACAGAGTTCAGGATTTAATGTATGAATTGCTATGGCTTCGGTTTGAAGAAGTTTGATTCGTACTGCTTTAGAAAGATTCCGATGTATTCTGTAGGTGATTTTGAAGTTGGTTTGAGGGGGGGGGGACCTTTCTCCATTATAAAATCATTAGGGCAAGTGTTGGATGATACGTTTGGATCGCAAACGCTGAGTAGGGCTGACACACCTAACTCCACAGCAGCAGGTGAATTGATAGGTACACATTAACGAGACAACCAGTAGTGGTAACTTGTCCTTCACTTTCATGCGAATTATTGGGTTTGTGGAGAAAGTTAATCGAAATTCAGCCTCTAAGAAGGTTTTCTTCAATTAGCAGGAAAGGCGATTTCTCAGTATTCTTACTGACGAATCCCCACTGAATTATAGATTCAACCAGAGAAGTCTTTTAGAGTCGCAAAGTATAGGCAGCTTTAGTGGTATAGGCTTCATGAAATTAGTGATGAGGAGTTTCGGGTAGCCTTTTTCGCGGAGAATCCTTTTCAGTGTTCACCTCCTCTTCGATAGTGTCGAGGCTGCAAATGCTGCGGATTCTATAGCTCAATGGATGGACTAAGTTTCGTTTTGTATTTAGAGGCATCCAACTATGGACGTTTGTACGTTGTCCGTTCCAATGTCAGCTTTCTGTAGATGGATCTTTTTAGCGTTCCATCATGTTCACTTGTAATTTGAACGCCCAGAAAATATTTTTGAGTTGAAATCCTTGTGTAATGTGATTTGGACTGCAGATTGACAACTGTTGAGAAACATCTAGAATGTCTTCCGGATTCTCCTTCTGTTAAGTTCACTATAGCGAGAACGAGAATCGGTTTTCTCAAAAGCTCAAAGCACAGAATTGAGTTGTTATCAGTCAATTATAACTTGTTAATTAAGGAAAGTTACTGGGATACGTGTATTCTCATAGGTGGATGGTTTATTTGTGCAGCTTTCATGGTCTACCTAGGCGACGTCTTCAGTGCATACTTTCACTTGGAGTGGGTTTTAAATTATACCCTGAAGATGTTGTCTAGGTAGACCCTGAAAGCTTCGTAATTGAACCATCCAACTCTGAGAACACAACTACACCAAAATCTTCCACCTGAGCTACAAATCTTTATCCTATACAAGAACGCTGACTTTACTTCCCTTATCCCACTTTTTCGCATTCTTGTGGCGTTTTCATCAGGCAGCAGTAAGTGACGAAACTGTTGTGGTGTCATTTAGTTTATACAAAATCAATAGTCAGCGTTACAATTGATATAAGTTGAATTCTAACTGACATCACCTATGTGATAAGCACATTGTAACGTGCAGAGATGTGTTGCCCCATTGGTCTAAGTCCAACTAATGGGTCCCAAGTTCGAATCCTCCATCACCGACTTCGGTTTGGGAGGGGCAGCTGGATTGTGTTATCCGCCCTCAAACAAAACCAGTGTGGATCGTAGCCTCTTTACCGGGTAGGTGAGTTCCAACTAAGTAACTAACTAACACTGTAAAGCTCTAATACCTCCGTACTTCTTTGTTTGTTTTGTCAATAGAAAAATTTTACTCCGTCTACGCGTTCTTCATATTTGGCTTTAATAGAATGGTACTACTCAAGAGTAAGTTTAATTTTTTCCCTTGTTTTTCCCCTATAACACCTGTTTGATAGTTAATTTTAGATACACATCCATTCTTATCACTTCTTAGTCTGAAAGCATAGTGCGTAGACTAAGTGGTGCTCGGGAGGAACAAACACGATAGAACCAAGCAGGCTTTAGACCAGGAAGAGGCTGTATTGATCATATTTTCACTCTTCGACAGACTCTGGAATATAAGCATGCTTACCGTTGGCGTCCAACAGTCGTGATATTTGTTGACCTAAAGGCGGCATTCGATTTCGTCGATCTAGAGGCACTGTGGCGATGTTTGGCTGTGAAGGGAGAGTGTGACGAGAAAATATATCTCACTGATCGAAGCACTCTACTCGAACTCATGTAGTCAGCCAGGTGAGAGCCTACGGCGAGTTGTCATCTGACAACTTTGGTGACAACCAGTGGTATCCGTTAGGGATGCCCAGCCCACTGTCCCCATTTCTGTTTAATTTCATCATAGATATTGTACTAATGGATTTAACCCTGACTGACTTCAGCGACTCATGGATTGACTTTTTACCAGGGAGAGAATAATCTCGTTGACTTAGAATATGTAGATGATATAGTCGTTCCAGGTGAAGACGATGGCATAATGCAGAGTCTTCTAAACATCTTGAGCTGAGCAGCAGCCTTCGGATATTTGGGATGCGATTGCCTCCCGTCAAATGTAAGATGATGAAGCTACAGGACTGAACTATGTTGACTCACTCCTAGCGTAAAGAAAGGGAAGGAGTGAAGTGGTTGGTGGGGCGTGTTGACCACTTCACTTATTTTTGGAGTTGCATCAGCCAGTCCCAACGGGTTGATCGTTGATGAAATCTCAGCACGGAAACAGGAGGCTCGTTTAGCACATGCCAACTTATGCCATCTCTGGCTAAGTAGATGTGATATCCGACCAGCTGCCGACCAAAGTGCTTGTGTACTGCTCAACAGCAGTTCACTTTGTCCTCCTTTTTAGCTGCGAGTGAAACATGGCCATTCAAAGTGGAAGACATGAAAAAGTTGGCTAGCTGTCTTCGATCATAGGTATTTGCGTTTTATCTGTCGTGTTAAGTGGATTAATAAGGTGAGCAACATTGAGGTTAGGCATCGGTCGAGTGCTAGGTAAGGAGGGGAATCAATCGACCAGGTTGTGAAGTTACATTGATTGAGAGAGATGGTTAGAACATATGTTACGCATGCCTGCCTAGCCATCACCTTCCTCGACAATGGGCAATGTTAGCTGACATAGGATCAGGTTGGAAAAGAGCCACTGGTGGTCAGACCAAAACATGGCTTCATCACTCAATGAAACCGACGACAGTTAGTTTAAGCCAGACAGCCAAGTAGGGAGGTGTAGACTTCCTGATAGTTTGGGGTTCTCAGAATGACAAGAACCAATGAAGGCTGGAGACAATTGGTGACATAGGTGGTTCAAAATCGTTTTCAACGGCTGGCGCTGATGTATTCACTCTTTGTGACTTGCCAGTCATATCCAAAAAAATTCGATTGTTCTTCCATATTGCCACTATTTTTCTTCCCTCACTCACACCTTTGTCTATTCTCACTCTTTTGAATCTCTCTTCACTCTCTTCTCTTTCTTTGTGTTCTACATAGAGGGAGAGTGACAACTCGAACTGGTGCACATATGTGCAAAGTAGTTCTACGTTGAAACCAGTTAGTCAGCCAGGAAGGTAGGTGGTTGCAACCATTTTAAGCCATACCACCAAAAACGTCAAACCCAGCGAGGCAGTCTACACCTTCCCTCCTAATAATCGAATACTTCATGGATTGATGCCGAATTCTGGTTCGACCACTCCTAACTCTTGTCAAAGTTAATCCTATGTCAGCCATACGAACCAGACTCCATGTTTGTGTGTGTGTGTGTGAGAGTTTTTAGAAATTCTTATTTCCATGTATTCTGAAGCCTCTATATCTACTGTGTTTCTTAGATCTCATGATATCTGTCTGTCTGTTTTCGACATAGAACTTTGCACCGATGTGCAGCAGTTCAAGTCGCCACACTCCACTCCTTGCAGCACACAAAGCAACAAGAAATTTGAAATGCATAATAGAGTCAGTAAACAGAAGTGTGAGACAAAGGAATAGTAATAACGAAGAACAGTATAGTTTCATTGGAAATCATAAGTCACAAGAAGTGGATGCATCTGCGTTAGCCATTAAGAACGATTTTGAGGCATATCACCAATAGTCTCCAGCCTTCATTGGTTTTTACCGTCCCGAGGACCCCAACCAGTCAGAAAGTCTACACCTTCCTATGTGGCTTAAACTAACTGTTGTGGATTTCATTGACTAATGGTGTCATGCTTTGGTTTGACCGCCACTAGCTCTTTTACAACCTGACCCTATGTCAGCTAGCATTGCCCATTGTCGAGGAAGGCGATGACTAGGCATACGTAACATGTCGTAACCATCTCAGTCGATGTAATTTCACAGCCTTGTCGATTGATTCCCCCTCCTTACCTAGCACTCGACGCCTAACCTCAATATTGCTTATCTTATTATACCACTTCACACGGGAGATAGAACGTAGGCACCTATGATATGGTTTGATATTTGAATCATAGACTGTTTATAGGAAATTTTCTATGACGATATTTTATCTCATAACACAGTAGAAAAGCGGTATTTCTTTGTTCTCATGGGATATACTCAACATTTTTAAGCATTGTCTTTTAGATTCAACAGTATACTGATACTAATGTGTCTGGATCGCCTAAATTCAAAACACCAGGTTAGTTGTAACTGTCTAGTGGTTTCATATTATATATTATTATTATTATATCCTTTAATTCCTAGAGGAACATAGGGCTTCAGCCGCGCGTCTCCATTGCCTTAGGTTTTCTGCCAACTTTTTCACTCCTCTTCACATGACCTCCTCCAAGTCACCCTACCCTCGCACTGACGATCAACTCGCCGCTTCCTTTTCGGGTTCCACTCGAGCGATGGCTCGTCTAGTGATGTCACTTGATGGTTTCCTCAGAGTATAGCCAATCCATCTCCATTTCTTTCTGCCTATTTGTTGCACAATTGGTTCCTGGTTGGTTCGCTCCCAGAGGTCCCTATTGCTGATCATTTCCGGCCATCTGATCTTGAGTATTGATCGAAGACAGCTGTTAATGAAGGTGTGTAGTTTGTTTGAGGTGTTCTTTATGACTCGCCAATTCTCTGATCCGTATAGTAGCACTGACTGACTTCACATTGTAGTTGAAAATCCGGATCTTATTTTTGATGATGAGTGTTGTTGACGTGTACTGATATATTATACTGTAATGGTGGGAGACGACAGACTTGTTAAAGGCATAATCAGGGAATTTGGTATCTCGATATAGGGCGAAATTATGTACACCTTATGTTCAACGCCGCACCGTTTGCACAGATCTCTCGCTTTGTGTTGCTTCTGGCCTTCATATTGTGCCTCTTTGTGTTCTTTTCACGTGTTTCCAATGTATCTCCGCAACGCTGTCTGAGCATTTGCTTTCTCAGATATCAAATCAATCTCCCTGCTATTTGATTTTTTTGGCCGATAAACACGTCTTTATAATACACTACTGATAAATCTTATCAGTAGCATTAGCCACACTACTCACACCTGTGAAGTGTTTGACAATAATTATGCCTGCCTCTGTTTATCTTCTTTTCTCTACTTTTTTAGCACCGCCTACAACACCTCGTGGTGGTGGTGGTGGTAGTGGTCGTACACCGCGTAGTCTCAGTCAACCTCGACTACTCTCCAAATTACAACAGCCGTATCCTGATTCACCTAGACCTGGTACACCAAGAGGCGGAGCAGGAAGAGGAAGACGAAGTTCACGATTCAGTAGTCATCGGTCTACTTCACATGATTTCGATGATATCAAACAAAGCGACAGTGTACCAAGTACTCCAGATATGGAAAATATTTCTATGCAGAGGCAAAGACCATCTCTTAAACCATTAGTCATCATCCTGACAGAGATTGAATCTATTCCTACTCAAGTGTTGTGTGATTTCATTGAATTGACTTCATTTTATTTTACTGGGCGAATAAAAGGTCGTGAATATGCTTTGCCGATAAACTTTGTTTTCGGTTTGTCTACAACACCTGAAATGGTATTTGAATCAAGAATTAATGCGTCTACATTAAGTCGACTGACAATTCGACGATTTGCTGTCCCACCACCGTCTGCATTTATGGAAGTTGTTATGAAAGAGGTGGGTGTTTTTAAAAGTCAGACTTCACAATTTACAAATTAATTATGATTATTATATTATTATTGTTTCCTTTAATTCCTAGAGGAACTTAGGGCTTCAGGCGCACGTCTTTATTGCGTTCGGTTCTCTCCCAATGTTTTTACCTAGCCCTGCGTCTGCTCACATGCTTTTATCTTCTCTTCACATGACCTCAATGTTACCCTCGCACTGGCGACCAACTTACCGTTTTCCATTCGGCTTTCACTCGAGCAATGTCCTGGAGTCTGATGGATGTCTCTTGGTGATGGTTTGTTTTCTCAGAGTATGGCTAATCCACCTCCATTTCTTCCTGCATGTTTGTTGCACAATTGACTCCTACTGTGTTGGTTCGCTCCCAGAGATCCTTGTTGCTGATCTTACCTGTTCATCTTCTCTTGAGCGAAGTATTGGGCAAAGACAGGTGTTTATGAGGATCTGTAGTTTGTCCGAAGTGCTCTTCGTAAAGTAGCACCAAGTCTCTGATCCATATAGTAAGTAGCACTGACTTCACATTGGAGTTGAAAATTCGGATCTTATTTTCATTTTCATGCTGAATGCAGTGTTTATTTCGACACAGACTTAACAGTAATGAAAACTTGCCATGCTTTCCTGATCCTTGCTTTGATATCCCCATCAGGCCCTTCCGCCTGTAGTTGAAATGATGCTTCCCATGTAGGTAGGTCGGTAGGTAAACCAGGTTGCTCCTTTCAGATTCCTCCCATTTATGCTGATTGTTGTCTGTTGTTGTTGCTGTTGGCCAGGAATCTCCATCACCTCTATTTTCTCTATGTTCACCTGAGTGCCTATCTCCTCTGGATGCTTCTTCTATCGCCAACTTGTTGCTTTTCATTTGCATATCTTCCACTTTGTGGGAAATCAAACATATATCATCGGCGAAGTCCAGATCCTCCAAGTTGATTTTGTGTGGGTCCATTTTATGCCTGTTTCTCCGCTGCCAGCCACTATCTGTTGCATTATCCAGTCTACCGCAATCAGGAAAATCATTGGAGATAGTAGGAAGCCAGCCAGCCAGCCAGGCTTGTCTTACTCCCGTCTTCACTTCAAAGGGTTCCGTGAGTTTCCCGTTATGGATTACTTGGCACGCAGCATTGTTGTACAACTCTTGGATGGGGGTGTATAATTGTTGGCGTCATCCCCTGAGTAGCGAAGTAGTTTCCAGATCACCTCTCGATCGGTGCTGTCGAAGGCCTTTTCAAAGTCAATAGAGTTGAGTTAGAGAGCTGACTACCATTTCAAGCACAAATGTGTAAAACTTTATACTACTGATTCACTGAGGTGAGTAGTTATATACGACTCACACATCAACCAGTAGTGTGTTCGGTAACCAAACAGACCAGAGTGATCTGAATACTGGACAATAGTTTCGCTAGTTTGGAGTCAAGCTGATTACTGGTGCACACCTGGTTTGATTGAGCTCAGAGAGCCGAATCAGTTTGAACCACCAGATATATTTGCCTTTTTCTCCGTCCCCATTTTTGTTATGTTGATTTTGTTTTTCCCATAATAATCGAAAGTTTTTCTCTGATATCCTTCATACTGAATCAAAAGTGTCGTTGATTTGTTTGAAACTCAGGAGAGCTGATGAACAAGAAGACCTAGTGTGTACCTATAGAAGTGTATGTAGGCGATTTCTTACTTCCTAACTGCGCACACACACCATGGGAGTTTATTTCCTCTTGAAAATACCTGAAACAGAATGGGTAATATTGTTGTATGACCTCCGAGTTCAAAGGACAACCACTTGAAGTCAGCCACATAAGACCGACTACAGACAGCTACAGGATATGTCAAGACCGATTTTTACCCCACAAGCTTTCCGTAGTGCAGTGAGGTAACATAACTGTCTGTTTTCGACATAGAACTTTGCACCGATGTGCACAAAGTCAAGTCACCACACTCCACGTAGCACACAAAGCAAGAGAAGAAAGTAAAAAAGAAATGCAAAGTAGTAGACAGGGATATAAGACAAAAGGAGTAGTAATAACGAAGAACAATATAGTTTTATTGGGTATTATAAGTCACACAGAGTGGATGCATCTGCGCCATTCATTGAGAACGATTTTGAACTAGCCATATCACCAACTGTCTTCAGCCTTCATCGGTGTTTACCATCCCGAGGACCCCAATCAGTCAGGAAGTCTACACCTTCCTACATGGCTTAAACTAACTGTTGTGGATTTCATTTGCTGGTGCCATGTTTTTGTTTGACTGCCGCTAACTCTTTTCCAGCCTGACCCTATGTCAGCTAACATTGCCCGTTGAGGAAGGCGATGGCTAGGCTACACATACGTAACACATTTCGTAACCATCTCAGTTGATGTAGCTTCATAGCTTCGTCGACTGATTTCTCCTCCATATCTAGCACGCCTAACCTCAGTGTTGCTCACCCTATTATACCACACAACCCAACACGACAGATAGAACGCAGACACCTATGAATCAAAAACAGCTAGCCGTTTCATGTCTTCCACTCTCAATGGCCAGATCTCACAGCCATAAAAGAGGATGGAGCGGATTGCTGAGCAGTACACACGTCCTTTGATTGATAGCCAGCCGGTTATCACGCCCACGCCAGAGACAGCGTAAACTGGCATTTGCGAAACTAGCCCTCTGTATCCGTTCTGAGATTTCGTCAGAGATCAACGCGTCGGTGCTAGCTGAAGCGGTCAACGTGCTCTACCACTTCACTCCCTATTTCTAAGCTAGCAGTCAGTGTCGTCCCGTCCTGTAACATTATCTTACATTTGGTCGGAGAGAATCGCATGCCAAATATTCGGAAATTGCAACTCATGGTGTTCAGAAGACTCTTCACTTTGTCAGAGTCTTCACCTAGAACGACTATATTATCTGCATATTCTAAGTCAAAGAGATTGTTCCTTGGTAACAAGTCAGTCCCTGAGTCTCTGAAGTGGGTTAGGGTTAAGTTCATTAGTACAATATCTATGATGAAATTGAATAGAAATAGGGATAGTGGGCATCCCTGAAGGACACTACTAATTGTCACCACTTCAGATGACAACTCGCCATAAGCTCTCACCTGGTTGACTGCATGAATTCAAGTAGAGGGCCTTGATCAGTGTAATATATTTTTTCGGTATTCCCTTTACAGCCAAGCATCATCAGAGTACCTCTTGGTCGACAGAATCGAATAGCGCCTTTAGATCAATAAGATCAAGGTAACATAACTGGCTTACATGTAGTCCAAGGAAAACACCTAACTGCTGTTACATCCCTGTTCTCCTACAGTAAAACTTCACCCACATACCCCTAACCAACATAGTGTTAACAACTTACATTATCATGGTAATTGTCTTTAGACCAAAAACTATCCAAACTATCATTCTAATGTTATGGAACTTACAGTGTTGGTGACGTCAAGGTAACAACTATCGATCTGGTACACAACTAATAAAATAGGTCGTTAGGTTTTTGACAATGACATTAACTGTTCACTACACACTATTAATCAAGCATGTGCGTGGGATGTTCTACCAGAAAAGATTTATCACTAGTGTACAAAGGGATGTTCATCGGCCTAAAACACATCCATCAGCAGGGAGATTGATTTTGATAGAGAAAGCAAATGATACAGAGTTGTGGAGATACATGTGGGACGTGAAACGAACACGAAGAGGCAAAATATGATGGCCAAAAGTAACACAACACCGAAGATCTGTCCTAATAGTGCATTGAAGATAAACGGTTTACATAATTTGGCTATATTATAGAGATTTCGAATTGCAAATAAATATGTCTAATGGAGTCTGGCGTCTTCTGTCTGATTCTGTCCGGATTCAACATAGAACTTCGCACCGAAGTGCAGCAGTTCCAGTTGCCACATTCCAAATAGCACACAAAGGTGGACAAGAAGATGAGTGGAGAGAATCAATACAGTCTGACAAGTATAAGAGTGAAACAGAATGGGTAATGGTAGAAAGGAGGAATATGAAAGATTACAGAGACTGAATACATCAGCGCTCGCCATTGACAACGATTTTGAGCCATGTCACCTATTGTGTCCAGCCATTGATTCTTAGAGTCAGTCCCGAGGGCCCCAACCCAGAAGTTTACATCTCCCTACCTGACTCAGTTTAACTGTCAAGGATTTCATGGATTGATGAGGCCATGTGTTTTTGTTTGGCCACCACTTACTCTTTTCCAACTTGCACCACCTATATCAGCTAGTAATACCCGTCAAGTGGGGGAGGCGATGGTTAGGCATGCGCACCACCTGACCTAGCCATCTCAATCTATGTAACTTTATAGCCTCGTCGATTGATTTTCCCTCTTTGCCCAACACTCTACACCTCCTAACGTCAACATTAGTTACCTTATTATACCACCTAACGTGAGAAAGAGATCGCAGACATCTATGGTCGAAAGCAGTCAACCTTTTCATGTCTTCAACGATTAAATGTGTGTTAAAGGTGCCTGTCCATTTCAGTCGCTTTGAGAATTCTCTGGTTAATATATTAAATGAGTATCAAGAGTCTTTGTTTGACAGCTAGTTAGATCATGGTTAGTGAACATGTATGCAAAATCTCGTTAATATTTTGCTGTCGAACTAATCCATTGATATATTGACAAAGTGAAATTAAATCCCGATGAATGCATTTCTCTCATAGCTGTATTGGTAAAGTGATGAAAGCCGTACTGATGGATGGTTTCAAGGTGATCGGTTGTTGTTCTCATGGTACTTGGTTACACTTTATCTTTTGAATCGGCTGAAGCTTCTGGAATTCATAGGTCATTGAATCGGGTTCCAGTGGCTGAATCAATGGTCTATGAACCACCCGCCTTCTGACCAGAGACTCCTAGGTTCGCACTTCAGCATGGGTGCCAGCTGATGAAGTGTGTAGTCTCCCTAGCCTAGGAGAAAACAGCTGTCCAGTACTTTCTGGTTTTTCAACTGATGCCAGGGCCTGATCAAAGATTTTTCCTAAATGTTTGTAATTACAACTGCTGTAGCCTTCATATTTTGCATACAAGTTTTTTTTCTCTAATTGTCTCTTTTGCATTTTTTTTTCTTTGTCACACCCCTTTTCTTGGTCCAGGTTATACACTTCCCTGGTGTACATCCTACTTATTCTATTCTTAGTTACTTGATTGATGGCATATTTCTTTGCTTAGATTATTCGGTAAAGAATTTTCTACAACGTTTAAAGGTAAGCGTTTTGTTTAATTGTTATCTTTGTTTAAATATTTGATGTGAAATTATTATTGTTCCCTTTTGGTCCCGAGTAGAACAATAGGGGCTGCAGCAAGCACTTAGTTCTCTACAGTCCTTTTGTATCTGGCTGTAGGATTGACCATAAGCGCTGTCATTTTCTCCTTCTGTGTTCATGTATGACCTCCTCTCTATGTCAACTGCGCACACTCACGTCTAACTCGTCATTTCTCATTTTTGATCTCTATCCAAGAGTTTAGCCTATGAGATGTCACTCAGCGGTCTTCTCTGTCGCACGCTTATTCTTTTCTGGTTGTTCATCGGATCTTTGACATGCATTGAAGACAGTTGTATTGATGAACGTCTTCAATAGCCTTTTGGGAAATGCTATTACAGAATATACACATTGGATCATTGGAATTATTAAGAAAGACAGTTGCAGCGAAGAAAGTTTTCCTTTTTGACGAAGTCATCAATTAGGTAGCTGTACATTTGTGTATTTATATCAAGTGGATGGGTGGGAAAGTTCCAGAATAATTTCTGGTCAAGGGTCAGATTAATAGAATTGCAATTAGGAATTAAAATGCCACAATAAACAGGGCGACGAATAAAGCTCAGACAAAGTAGCATCATAATTACTGAGAAGATTTACATATTGTACAATTGGGGGTTAGAAATGTAGAGATAATAGAATAGACAGGATGTTTGAATAAAAATACTGTGATGAATAATTGTTTATGCAATCAGAGATTAAATATGTAGAAATAGTAAAATGATAGAATGAATAGGAAGTTTAGATAAGAAAGGTGATGGGATGGTCATTACTGAATAAATTTACCAGTTTATGATGGCCATGGCAGAGACAGGGGTTGGACGTATTTCTTTTGTATACAAAGCGTGGATTTGAGCTTTTGGATAGCTAGTGCCTCGGCTAATGCCAGATGTCTTAATTTCGCTCCATTTGTTAGGTTTGATGGAATCTTGTATATTACTTCGAAGGATTTCTCGAAAGGCGTTGAATGTCCTGAATTGACCAGATGTGATTGAAGAAGAACTGCTTAATCTCAGAAGAACTCTGATGGAAAACGGTTTCCCGCCCAGGTTTGTAGACAAGAATCTCAAATCTAAGAAGACTTCCGAACAAGTCAAATTCGTTCCAAAGAAAATACTTCTGCTTAATCTAGAATTCAAAGGTGATATTGAAGCAGAAATCCTTCGTAAACGCCTCTGCAAATCTCTGAAGAAAACATATTTCACCGCGAGCCTACGACTGACGTTTTCCCGCAAAAATGTTAAGCCAGAACACGAAAGACAAGCTGTCGCATTGCGCCACTTCAACGTGCATATACCAGTTTATTTACTCTCACGGAGCTGAGCACATCGGCCGCACCATGCACCGACTTGAAAAACGCGCTCGCGAACACTGTCCAGCCTGGCTAGTAAAAGGAGATTGAAAACGTGTATACAGTTCAGTGACAGAACATCTAGTCAATTCAAGACATTCAGCGCCTTTCGAAAAATCCTTCAAAGTAATATACAAGATCCAATCAAACCTATCAAAGGGAGTGAAATGAAGGCATCTGGCATTAGCCGAGGCACTAGTTATCCAAAAGTTCAAACCCACGCTTTGTATCCAAAAGAAATACGTCCAACCCCTGTCTCTGCCATGGCCATCATAAACAGGTAAATTTATTTAGTAATGACCATCCCATCGCCTTTCTTATCTAAACTTCCTGTTTATTCATGTTATTTTAAGTTTTTCTTAATCCCTGTTTACACTACCATATTTTCATACTCGAACTTCGTGTTTATTTTGTCATTTTACTATTTCTACATATTTAATCTCTGATTGCATAAACAATTATTCATCACAGTATTTTTATTCAAACATCCTGTCTATTCTATTATTTCTACATTTCTAACCCCCAATTGTACAATATGTTAATCTTCTCAGTAATTATGATGCTACTTTGTCTGAGCTTTATTCGTCGCCCTGTTTATTATGGCATTTTAATTCGTAATTGCAATTCTATTAATCTGACCCTTGACCAGAAATTATTCTGGAACTTTCCCACCCATCCACTTGATATAAATACACAAATGTACAGCTACCTAGTTGATGACTTCACCGAAAAGAAATGCTAATAATAACGCGCCAATTCCCTGAATCTAACAGTTGCGCTGACATGGAATTACTGTTAAAAATCCATGGCATGGTCCTGATTGTGACAGGAGCAGTGTATTTCCACAATAATGAACTTCTGTTCTACTTTCGTGAGCCTGCCTATGAACATTGCTGCCGTGGTAAAAGGAAAGACGTAACTTTTCCTTTAAATTTCCCTCCCTGATGATGGTTGGTTCCTGTTGTTGTTGTTGTTGATCGGTGTGTATCTTCACCATCTATGCCTTCTCTACGTTCATCTGAGGTCCTGTCTTAACTGTTCGCCTATTCGCCTGTAGATCATTGGGGTTGTACGATATTAGACATATATCATCCGCCAAGAACACATCTTTTATGGTCTTGTCGTCGGCCCAACATTCAGTGTCATTACTCATTTATAAGGAAAACTCAGCGAGGCGTCTGGAGTAAACACAGGAGTCAGACAAGGGTGCTTATTATCAACAATGATATTCCTAATTGTAGTGTGGACTGGATTATGCATCGTCAGACAGTGGGAAACGAGAAGAAAGACAGGGATATCCTGGACCGACGTGAAGAACCTAGAAGACCTGGATTTCGCGCGTGGATGATTTATGCTTGATGTCACACAAAATCGAAGACTTACAAGCGAAACCCGACAAAGTGGTCGAAGAAGCAGCCGGCGAAGACAGGACTCCAGGTGAATATAGACAAGTTGGAGGTTATGAAAATAACCAACAACAACAAAAACAACAGCAGCAACATCCAGCGTCAATCACCATCAACGGGAGGGATTTGAAAGAGGTTACTTCATTCACTTATCTACCATTAAGCATTGTCTCAACTACAGGCAGTGGGAACGGACGAGGATGTCAAATCGAGCGAGAATCGGGAAGGTGAGAAACACATTCACTCATCAACCTGAAACCAATCTGGAAATCTTCGTCACTCAACTCAGCATCAACAACAAAATTCTGTCGGGTTTTCAATACAAACGTCAAGTCAGTTCTTCTATGGGGATCAGTAACTTGGAGGGCGGGCGGGTCACAAATAATATTTCCAACAGCCTGTTGCAGACCTTCATCAACCAACAACTGTCTTCGCTGGCTCTATACTGAAGATCAGATGGCCGGTCCGGAAACAATCACCAGTCGCCAGCCAACAAATACGCAGGAGAAATTGAGATGGATTGGACACTCGCGGTTGGGGAGGCCGCTGGGTGACATCGGGCGCGCGTCAGGCCATTGCTCGAGTGGAACCAAGACGAAAGGGAAGCGGCGATCTGGATGTCAGCGCAAGGGTGACATGAGGGAGATCGTGTGAAGAGGAGTTGAAGCACAGTATGGACTAACATGGATGCAGGTTAAAAGTACAGCAGAAGGAAGACAGAAGTGGCAAGGGGAGACGTGCAGTTGAATCCGTATGTTCCACTCGGAAACCAAGGGAACAATAATAATTATAATACTCAGTTATAATTGGTTTTTGTAATGATGAATATATATTTATTTCTCTATGTTTATTCAAGTACAATGTAGTGTGTATATTTTCTCTTATTTGTGCTTTGAAGTGAACTTTGGGAATCATAGTAGATCTGTCTTAGGTAACTCCATTATGGATAAGATTTTATTTTGATAAGTGTTGCTCTTAACACAACATTTAATCCTACTCCAAATGTGACATGGTGGAGATATGTGGATAATTGACACTTTCACCCACAGTGTTAAAAACAGAACATCTCTCTCTCTCTCTCTCTCTTTCTAGCTTCTTGACACACATAACATAAACTCACAAGTAGAGGGAATAAAATTCACATTTGAATCAGAAAATGAACTAGGAGAATTAGCTGTGATGTTAGATTGTAAGATAAAACGAATAGAAGAAGGCAAACTACACACTAGTGTTTATAGAAAACCAATGCGTTCTGTCATTGATATAAGAATAAAACTTGTGCACTGTGGTAGAGTGTAATTCCATTATGGGTAAATTTTGTTTCGATAAAGTCTCACAGTGTTATACAGTAATGTTTACTGATGACGTTTCGAGCACAATTTATTGCTCATAATCATATCAAGGTACTCACTCGACTTCCTAACTTCATTTATATAGTTCCATTATTTTTCACTTGATTTGATTGGTAGTAGTATTTTCCATATTTCAGGTATGAGTGATGAATCATTCCTATTGCATGTGTTTGGTGTAGACTCGATGAACAAGGATTCAGTAATCAACCTCTCTCTCCACCTACCTAGATTAATTTTTAGAATTTTAACCCTCTCCCTCCCACCCTATTGTGTGGTTGTGTGTTAGCGCATGCATTGCAATTGCTGAGCTTTTTTCTAAATTACTTATCTTCTCGGGGTCAACCATTCTTACCGTAGCTAAATTCTTATGCTCTGACAATCTGACTACCCCTGACCTACTAGTTTGACCTATGTAGTTGACCTCACAGTCATTACATGGTATTTTGTAAATAATATTATTTTGTCTAATTGGGTCAACTGGGTCCTTTAACCTACAGAGCTTGTCCTACCTGAGTGTTTGTAGGTTTAAATGCCACCCTAATTCCTATTTTATTCAGAATCCTACGTAGTGTCTCAGATGTCCCCTCTTTATATGGTATAACTGTGGATGACTTATATTCCTTCTTATTTATGTTATTATTACTAGTTTCACAATTATTTTTATTTTGTTTTTGGCCTTTAATGATCTTCCTAATGAATTTTATAGGATAGTTATTCAACACCAACGCTTCTTCTATCTGTTTTAATTCATCATTTAGATCTTTTTTTGTGCTACTTAGTGCCACTGCTCGGTTTGTTAAAAATTTAACTAAGCCTGCCTTAACAGTTAACGGATGAGACGAATTAAAGTCTAAATATCTATTAGAATGCGTTGGTTTTCTATAAACACTAGTGTGTAGTTTGCCTTCTTCTATTCGTTTTATCTTACAATCTAACATAGCTAATTCTCCTTGTTCATTTTCTGATTCAAATGTGAATTTTATTCCCTCTACTTGTGAGTTTATGTTATGTGTGTCAAGAAGCTAGAAAGAGAGAGAGAGAGAGAGATGTTCTGTTTTTAACACTGTGGGTGAAAGTGTCAATTATCCACATATCTCCACCATATTTTCGGAGTAGGGTTAAATGTATTGACGCATTCTGCTAATAGATATTTAGACTTTAATTCATCTCATTCGTTGACTGTTAAGGCAGGCTTAGTTAAGTGTTTAACAAACCGAGCAGTAGCACTAAGTAACACAAGAAAAGACCTAAATGATGAACTAAAACAGATAGAAGAGGTGTTGGTGTTAAATAACTATCCTTTAAAATTCATTCGGAAGATCGAAAAAGGCCAAACGAAAAATAAAAATAATTGTGGAACTAGCAATGATAACGTAAATAAAAGGGAATATAAGTCATCTGCAGTTATACCATATAAAGAGGGGACATCTGAGGCCCTACGTAGGATTCCTAATAAAGCAGGAATTAGGCTGGTGGCATTCAAACCTACAAACTCACTCAGGTAGGACAAGCTCTGTAGGCTGAAGCACCCTGTAGGTTGACCCAATTAAACAAAATAATAATATAATTTATAAAAAACCTTACAGTGACTGTGAGTTAGGTCAACTACATAGGTCGGGTGGGGTAGTCAGATCGTCGGTCAGAACATAAGAATTTAGCTAAGGTTAGAATGGTTGACCTTGAGAAAATAATTAATTTAGAAGAAAGGGCAGCGATTGCACACCATGCATTAACATACACACAATCTCACAATTCCATGGTGGGAGATGGTTAAAATTCTAAAAAGTAACATAGGTAAGTGGAGAGAAAGAGAGAGAGAGATTGATTACTGAATCCTGCCTGATTCTTCGAGTCTACACCCAACACATGCAACTGAAATGACTCAGTGCAATACCAGAGATATGCATGGAGGATATTATTACCACCAGTCAGTCAGTCAAATCAGGGGAGGGCAATAAATAATCTTAAATTGTATTCTATTTCAATTCACGTACACATCACAACATTCTAACAAGTAACTCATTGTGACTATAAAGACACTTATCTTATTTCCCATCTGATTGTATTTGTGAATAACACTGTCTGTCGGGGCGTAAGCGGAGACTACGAAAAGGCAACGACGGGTAGCACTGTCTTTCCTTCTTTTAACCGACCCATTCAGACGGACCACACACACACACACGACTATCTACTGGGATCCAGTCAAGGGAGGATTTTTCTGCCCTAACACTGAGTGCTATCCCAACACCTGCGAGTCCTCTCGAGCTAGCTGACACCCTTAAAGTGAATTTCGCAGAATCACCTTGTTGACCGGGTGAGGTTAAATGGAATGACCGCACTCTCGGGTCTTGTATGCTTGTCTCCGAAACACAACATACATCTATGGCTCGAGATGCCAGACTTCTTGATAGTGATGCATGTTGTCCGATTCAGCAGAGGGGCCTGACGCTAAATGCTCATATATGAAGTTGGTGACGTGGCTTTAAAAGGCTATCTGGGGTGTTACTTTGGCTCTCACCTTTGTTTGTGGTCACAAAGTGAAGTGAAAAGATGACTCACTAGCCTGCAGAATACTACTAACTGTAGTAGAGAAGCAAGATGAGGAAGGTGATGTGAGTAAAGGAGAATAATGCTCAGGAAGGCTTCGTGTGCTTTTGGAAGTGTGTGGGCGGTTGTTACTTTCCAGCTGCCCACACCGTGGAAGTTGATTGATTCTTTGAGTACGTGAAACAGAAAGAGGGTTAGTGTTGCGTGACCGCAGAGCCCAGGGGACAACTGTTTGAGCCAGGGCGGTCACACACGGCCTGCATGAACTGGTTTCTGGGATTGGTTCCGTATTAGTAAAATTACCGCTGGTTACGGACCACCGTAGGTAGGGTAAGTCGGGATGTACAATTTTTGGGGTCGACCTTTTCTAATCCCAACAGAGTGGAGACACAGCATAGCTGACTGGCATGTTGGTCATCTGAGGGAAACACCTCACTGCTGTTACACCCCTGTTACATACGCGCTGGCGTTCGAACCCAGGACATTTCAGTTAGAAGGTGAGCTCATAGATTATTCAGCTACTGAGACCTAGTCCTTACGCTCTATGAGTTTTAACTTCTGCCAATTCGCGTACTTCTAAAGAGTACAAAACTACTATCCAGTACTCCCTACTTTTCCATCCCTGCAAAGCAACACTTTCAAATTAATCTCCACATTTTTTTGTTTACAGTTTTGTATATTAGAACATTATCTAAAGACACCACATCCTGAATTATTGATACTACCATTGGATGGTGTACGTCAATATCTTTCTTCATTGGATTCTAAAAGTTTGGCACAAATTGTCTCTATTGATTATCCTTCACTAGCAAATTCTGTGCTGAACACAGAAGCCAATATTGTTGGTACTGCCGATAGTACTTCTTCAACGTCAACACCTGCCTCACCATTACCATCGTCATCATCAACTTGTCAATCTCCAAGTTCCCGCGGACGTAGATCATCACATCATTCTACCAGTCGCCTAATTGATAAAATTATCCAACATTTAGAAACACATTTAAAACTGCAATATTTAGTTCCACGTGTTTTAAATTGGTTATTAATTATTATATCACCGGTAACTGTACGACCATTGGGGAAAAATGTAAGTTGTTATGTACACATATATATGCCTTTAAATATTCCTATTATTAATTTTAGAACACGACATATAAACAATATTGTTGTTTTCAATTAGATCTCCTACACCGACTCCTAGATTAGAAATAGGAAGTGAAGTGGTTGGTACAGCATATTGACTACTTCACTTATTTGGGAAGTACCATCAGCCAGCGCCAACGGCTTGATCTCTGACGAAATCTCAGAACGGATACAGAGGGCTCGTTTCGCATTTGCCAGTTTACACCGTCTCTGGCATAGACATGATATCCGACTGGCTATCGACCAAAGGACGGGTGTACTGCTCATCAGTTCGATCCGTCCTCCTTTATGGCCAGCTTTGAGACCTGGCCATTGAGAGTGGGAGACATGAAAAAGCTGGCTAGCTGTCTTTGATCACATGTGCCTGAGTTCTATCTCCCGCGTGAAGTGGTATAATAGGGTGAGCAATATTGAGGTTAGGTGTCGAGCTCTAGGTAAGTGGGAAGGGAAATCAATCGACGAGGCTGTGAAGTTACGTTGACTGAGATGGTTAAGACATGTGTTACGTATGCCTAGTCATCGCCTTCCTCGACAATGGGCAATGTTAGCGGATGTAGGGTCAGGCTGTATGCGTGGTGAACAGTAACAGCTATAATCATACAAGAAGTTATGAAATTATGTTAAGAATGTTTATCGCTATGGTGATCAGTGAATTTGATTGAACAACACTAAACAATCATAAGAAAATAAACATTTCAGGGTTTTTATTGTCAGCTTTAATGCAGTGTTTGTTGTGGTAGTGGAGTAATCATGCATAATACAAAAAAATTTAAGATGGTGATGACGGCGTTCACAACCAAGATTGTCAGTTAACATTGCCGACCAAAAACAATCACAAAACTAATATTACATGAAGATTATTGACAGGACAATTTAGTAATACTCATAGTGCTAATATAGTCGGACCCAGTAGATACCCAAAAGAAGGAATAGAATAAAGAATAAAAAAGTAAGCCAATGATAATACACATTGGGTCATAGGAGTAAATAAGAAGACAGTTGCAGCGAAGAAAATTTTCTTTTCGACGAAGTCATCATCTAGGCTGTACATTCGTGTATTTATATCAAATGGATGGGAAAGTTCCAGAATAATATCCGGTCAAGGGTCAAATTAATAAAAATTAAAATTGGGAATTGGAATGCCATAATAAACAGGGGGATGAATAAAACATTTCTAACCCCTAATTGCACAATGTCAGTCTTCTTAGTTATTATAATGCTACTTTGTTTGTTTTATCCATCCCCCTGTTTATTATGGCATTCCAATTCCCAATTTTAATTTTTATTAATTTTACCCTTGACCGGATATTATTCTGGAACTTTCCCATCCATTTGATATAAATACACGAATGTACAGCCTAGATGATGACTTCGTCGAAAAGAAAATTTTCTTCGCTGCAACTGTCTTCTTATTTTACTCCAATGATAATAATTTTAGGTAGCTAAGTATGTTTAAGAAGGTTGTTCACTCTAGAATACAAATAAGAGAGAAATAAAAGAGCCAAAATTATGTTATTAACAACAAAGCAAGTCATAGGTTTCGCGCTTAACATTGTCTCTGTCACTTAGAACACGGGCTGGCCAAATATGGTATCGTTGAGTTCCTATACTTGGTTGTACGAGCATATATTATTTTGTACTGATTTCTGGTTCTACCTGATGAGATTCAAGGAGAGAGTTGGGAATAGAGAGGGTGTTGAGGGTCAGAGAGTATGGTTTTAGACCTTTTTTCGCATGTATTCAGATGCCTTTCTACTAATGCAGTGATGAGCTGACTGAGTTTTACAACACTAGTCCTACTAACTATCTTCAACATCCTTCTCAGGATGGTATAGTCCTTTTTCAGTAACCCAGGAAAGACTAACGGGGAGCAGTAAAGTAGAATACGTAAGATACGAGAGTTGACAAATAGTGAAAGCAGAGGTTGGGTGATTCCAGATAGTCTGAGTCTCTTAATGTAGTAGGTTAGAACGGAACACTTTCTGAGAAATCGTTTGGATATGAGATGACTAAGTAAGGTCGGAAGATAGAACTAATCCGAGGTATTTTGGATTAGACTTGGTTTCACTTTTAGTCCTCTCAATGCTACAGGCTTCATGAGTGCTTACTAGTGTTTGTAGATCTTGTTTATGCCTAAAGGAGAAGTCAATAGTCTGGCATTTTGAGGAACAAGACATATAAAAGCGAACAATATTATTGATTTCAATTAGATCTTCTTTAGGCTTTACGCTAATTTACATAGGTTTATGCATAAAGAAACAATTTAACCAATGACGGTGATTTTTCGTGGGTCGAATAATAGTAATAATAATAATGTGGTAAATGCTTTGATGAACGTCACTAATAACGGTAATTAATGGTATTAAATGTTTGGAGCCAGTCGGCTACAGGAAGGCTTGCCTGACCGAGGTTTCGTGCTAGTTAGCACTCACCAGTCAGTCAGCAAGGCGTATCTGCAACTACCTTGAAGGAACAAATCATATCCCTTCTGAGATTGGAACCCGCCTCACCCAATGCTGCAGTCAGAGACGTTACCACTGAGCTAGGGAAATGAGTTCCTTCAGGGTAGTTGCAGATACGCCTTGCTGATGAGTGCCAACTAGCACGAAAACTAGGTCAAGCAAGGCTTCCTGTGGCCGACTGCCTCCAACCATTTAATACCAACAATTCACAGTGCACCGTAATGGCGAGCCATCCAGTGGCATGGTGGCCACATTGCAAGCTTGACTGACTGATGGAATTCAGTCTGCACCGTAGATAGGACTAGACATATTACACTAGTTAATGACTAGTGTACAATCAAAAATATAACGATAATTATAATAATAATAATAAAATAATGATAAGAAGGTTTATGCAGGGGGCGACAGGAAGAATAACGGTGTCAGTATTATGTGTATATGTATATATCTATATGTGAAGAAGGGAGATCAGAAGACGAGGCTGTGAAGTTACATCGACTGAGATTGTTAGGACATGTGTTACGTATGCGTAGCCTAGCCATCGCCTTCCTCTACCGACGGTCAATGTTAGCTGACATAGGGTCAGGCTGAAAATGAGCTAGCACGTGGCGGTGAGACCGATACATGGCACCAGTCAATGGAATTCACAACAGTTAGTCTAAGCCATGTAGGAAGGTGTAAACTTCCTGACTGGTTGGGGTCCTCGGATGGTAAAAACCAATGAAGGCTGGAGACAATTGGTGATATGGCTAGTTCAAAATCGTTCTCAATGGCTAACGCAGATGCATCTACTCCTTGGGACTCATAATATCCAATGAAACTATATTGTTCTTCGTTATTACTCTTCCTTTGTCTCACACCTCTGTTTACTGTCTCTGTTTTGCATTTCTTTTTACTTTCTTCTCTTGCTTTGTGTGCTACATAGAGTGGAGTATGGCGACTTGAACTGTTGCACATTGGTGCAAAGTTTAACGTTGAGACCAACCAGTCAGTCAGTCAGTCAAACTGTGTTTCGACTTGTTACCATGGAATAGTCTTATGGACTTAGAATATACAGATGACATAGTCCTGTTAGGGGAGGACGCTGACAAAATCCAGCAGAGTCTTCTGAACACCTTGAGCAGCAATCTTCGTATGTTTGGCATGCGATTCGCTCCTACAAAATGTATGATGCTGCTACAGGACTGGACCACATCAACTCCTAACTTAGTGATAGGGAGTGAAGTGACAGAACATGTTGACCATTTCACCTATTTGAGAAGTTGTATTAGCACCAACGGACTGATTGGCGATGAAATCTCAGCACGGATCCGAAAAGCTCGAGCTGCTGCTTCAGCTGACGTACACCATCTCTGGCGTAGGCGTGACATCCGACTATCAACCAAGCGACGTGTGTACTGCTCAGCAGTTCGCTCCGTCCTTCTCTATGGCTCTGAAACATGGCCAATACGCGTTGAAGACATGAAAAGGTTGACTGCTTTCGATCATAGATGTCTACGATCTCTGTCTCACGTTAGGTGGTTTAATAAGGTAAGTAATGTTGACGTTAGGAGGCGTAGAGTGTTGGGCAAAGAGGGAAAATCAATCGACGAGGCTATAAAGTTACATAGATTGAGATGGCTAGGTCAGGTGGTGCGCATGCCTAACCATCGCCTCCCCCCACCCGACGGGCATTACTAGCTGATATAGGTGGTGCAAGTTGGAAAAGAGTAAGTGGTGGCCAAACAAAAACATGGCCTCATCAATCCATGAAATCCTTGACAGTTAAACTGAGTCGGTCAGGTAGGGAGATGCAGACTTCCGGGTTGGTGCCTTCGGGACTGACTCTAGGAGTCAATGGCTGGAGATAATAGGTGACATGGCTCAAAATCGTTGTCAACGGCCAGCGCAGATGTATTCAGTCTCTGTAATCTTTCATATTCCTCCTTTCTACCATTACCCATTCTGTTTCACTCGTATACTTGTCAAACTCTATTGATTCTCTTCACTCATCTTCTTGTCCACCTTTGTGTGGTATTTGGGACGTGGCAACTGGAACTGGTGCACTTCGGTGGCAAATTCTATGTTGAATTCAGACAAAGTGTGTTTATGCAATAGCGTTACGCATAAAAACATACTGTTATAAAGCGTAATATAAACGTAGAGACATGGTCCATTGGCCTAAGTGCTCGATTATCAGTCAGTGAGAGTTATGGGTTCAAATTTAATTCCATCTACTTCAGCCTCAGGGGGTGGGTGGGGGAGTAGCAACTTGGCAGTATCTTTAGCCCTCATACATCAATTTGGTGGTTTATATCATAGTACATGTTAAATTTTCGTGTTATTTGCTCGCCACACACACACACACACACATGCTTGTTTCTTTCAACTACTCAAACTGTCTGTTACAAGCCTTTAGTGATATCAGTAACAATTTCACGCCTTTTCTCGTTGATATTGTTTTAAACTTAAGTACTTGCGAATCTATGCTTTTTGTGGGGCATACATATTTACCCTGTGTCAGGGTTGATGGTACTACCCAGTTTCTCTGTAGGCTAATGTAGGTGGAGGGAATACTAGATGGTTACAACATCGGCCTACATCTCCACGTGTTTGGTAGTGATGATTAACAGGTGGACTCGAAGACTCGTGTTTCGTCCTATTTTGTGACTCCTCGTCAGCTGGATGGATTTTTTTGCTTTCCACTCTTGAGGAGATGCGAATTCATTACCCTCATCTTTTCAAAAGTGTATTCGCCAACAGTCTAAACATTTTAAGTCGAAGTTAGGGCATAGTAAGTACTGTGGTGAGAGTTGGCTATGAACAAGCCAAAACTGTAGACAACAGTTTACGTCAATGTTGTTTACGTCCCGAATCATGGTCATGAGAAAAACAACAATAACAAAGCTTAACCTTGAGGAACTACTCACCAACCAATCACACAGTAGATTTGTGTGTGCATGTGTGCAAAACGATGCGCAGATATATGGCTTAACTTTCTGAGAAACGGTCACAAGCAGTACAGAATAGCCATCAGCAAGGAAACAACCAATCAGAAGGCGTTGCTTCTCTGCTAACATTAATGTATAAATATCTCTTGATTTTCTCAGTAAGCGATCTGTTGCCTGGCCCTTGTCTTCTGTCGTTACAATACTACAAATTGTTAATCCTCACTTTTTACGAGTTGGCAGCTGCTGTTTCGTCCTAGTTAGGGAATCATCGGCAGTGCGCACCCAACATAGTGGGGTTCGAACCCTGGACCTTCCGGGTTCAAGGCAAGCTTGTATACCATTCAGCCACTGGGACCCGATTCAGTGGCCTGCCTATGAATTCTGACTTCTACCAATTCGTGATTTAGCGCGACCCCAACCACTGTCGTTGGCGGGACATCCATCCACACTTGTGACATGTAATTGCACCTCACTGGTCACGACTTCTCACTAGAACTTACTCCAGGAAACTCCATCCTGTAGCCAGTCAGTAACTAGCGAGCATCAGATTAATTTTCCATAGATTGGTTTGTAAGGGTTAGATATGTTTCGACGAGTTGATCACGGATTGATATCAGTTAGAGAAGCATTGAAAACCAGGAAGTATATTGGACAGCTGCTTTGCCTTGTAACGTGAAGGTCCTGGGTTCGAACCCTGGTGGTGGGTGCGTACTTCCGATGATTCCCTAAGCACTAGGATGAAACTAGCTAGCTGTCCAGTACTCCGTGTGGGCTGGTTTTCAATGCTTCCCTAACTGATATCAATCCGTGATCAACTCCTAAAAGCATAACTAACCCTTACAAATCAAACTATAGAAAAATGAATTCACTTTGATAGTTTTGTTTCAAAAAAATTTATATTCGATTGTGATTTTTATTCTGATTTTCTCTTTTGTAAATATTGTTTTTTTTCCTCTCTCTCTCCTCTCTCTATCAGATGAGTGATTTATACCGTTTATGGTTGAAGAATGGTTTAACTCAATCAGAAGAATACACTATGACAATGAATCTTTTTAAGTAAGTTGGATCACACGCCCCCACACATCGATTCTTCCGCATTCTTTTACCTTGCTTTTGGAATATGTACGTGTCTTCAACCATTGAAGTTCCAGTAGCAATGATGGGATTGTTTTTTTTTGATGAGGTGGGACTACTAGCCTCTCACGTGGACTAAAGCTTCCCCCTTTTCTGGGCTTACTACCGGGATATGCAGTGTCGTCGTCGTCGTCGTTTAGGAGTTCGTCGGCTGGGAATCCATCTCAAACCACTTGGGTGGGTGTTTGTCGACTATTCTACCAATGAACTAACTGCTGCCTACCGGAGAGCCTTGATAATTCAGTATAATAGTAGCGTCTGTGACAACGCCATCTCATTTCATGAAGTGGATTCGAATCGCAAAGGGGAAATCAATTCTTTTGAGGTTTCAGACATGCCCTACCGGCGACTACCCAACTTTCAAAAAACGTATGGGTCAGGCAAGGTTTCCTAATGATTCTTTTATTTTTTGTTTTATTTTTGATTACAGCTTGATTCCACACTGTATTTTTGGTACAAGTATGGAATTTTCAGCGTGGATATCGGTAGCCCGAAATTCGCAGGCCGACCATAGATATCAGGTGTGCGTCGGCGTGGGCTGGAACCCTCTGCATGGTCGACGAGAGTCCTAACCACTGTGCCACCGACTAACTATCTCATAAAGTGAACTTTGTTATAGGGTGACTATAATGAGTCTACAGTTTTGTCACATAAAGAGGAAGGAACATCTGAAACTTTACTTAGGATTCTTAATAGAGCAGGAATTAAGGTGACATTTAAACCTACAGACTCACTCAGGGATAAACTCTGTAAGCTAAAGGACCTTATTGATCCAACTAGATAAAATAATTTAATCTAAAAAAATACCTTACAATGACTCTAAGGTCAACTACGTAGGTCAGATAAGTATATCTAAGGTACGAACCTAGGACCTTCCGGTTATAAGGCAAGCTGGCTCGTATATTATTCAGCCACTAGGATCCATCTCATTGGTCAACACATGAATTCCAGCTTCCACCAATTGGTGATTTAGCGCGACCACCAACCAATGTCATCGGCGGGACATCCATTCTCACACTAGACTGGATGAACCTCATTGGTTACGACTTGTCACTACAACTCCAGTAAACTCAGTTGGTTTGTAAGGATCAGATTTATGGGCGCATACTGCCGATGATTTCCAAACTAGGCAGATGAAACAGCTGGCTGTCCAGTACTCCAGTGTTGGTTTTCAATGGTTCTCTAACTGATATCAATCCGTGGTCAAACTCGTAAGAAAAAACATATCTAATCCTTACAAACCAACCTGTTGAAACTATCCAGTCAGATTATTGGAACTTGAGAATTTAGCTAAGTATAGGATGACTGACCCAGCGAAGATGAGTAAATTAAAGGAAATCTCAGAAATCTCAATGGATACACTAATGCACAATTACATAATACGGTGGACAGAACTACACCGCCACTGGACTGGCTGGTGGTGAATGGGCACGTACATATCTACCTAGGGGAGCTGAGAAACCTTATTTCCGAACGTGTGGGGGTTATCTATGTGCCCCACAATCCGAAAGATTGGAATCGTTGTGTATAGACATGTTTTGGTCACTATCAACCAATGGGAACGTATCTCCTGACGCTTCTCCACTGCCTCGTACAGTAGTGACTTCAAGTCCAAGGCGTGGAGGTGGAGATGTTCATTTAAGATAACCAACATCTGTTCTGGTCCAGGAGTCAGCCATGGCAGAAACAATGAAATTGTGTGTGTGTGTGTGGTTCATTTCTTGGTTCCCATAATGTACTCCATTCGTGTTTTAATCTATCTGTCTGTTTTCGACATAGAACTTCGCACGGATGTGCGCCAGTTCAAGTCGCCACACTCCACTCCTTGTACCACACAAAGTAAGAGAAGAAAGTAAAAAGAAATGCAAAACAGAGACAGTAAACAGAGGTGTGAGACAAAGGAAGAGTAATAACGAAGAACAATATAGTTTCATTGGATATTATGAGTCCCAAGGAGTAGATGCATCTGCGCTGTCATCGAGAACGATTTTGAGCCAGCCATATCACCAATAGTCTCCAGCCTTCATTGGTTTTTACCATCCCGAAGACCCCAATCAGTCAGGAACTCTACACCTCCCTATGCGGCTAGCTTCAACTACCTGTTGTGAATTTCATTGAATGATGTAGCCATGCTTTGGTTTGACCGTCGCTGGCTGTTTTCCAGCCTGACCCTATGTCAGCTAACATTACCCATTGTCGACGAAGTTGATGGCTAGGCTACGCATACGTAACACATATCCTAACCATCTCAGTTGATGTAACTTCACAGCTTCGTCGATTGATTTCCCCTCCCACTTACCTAGAACTCGACACCTAACCTCAATATTGCTCACCCTATTATACCACTTCACGCGGGAGATAGAACTCAGCCACCTATGATCAAAGACAGCTAGCCAGCTTTTTCATGTCTCCCACTCTCAATGGCCAGGTCTCAAAGCTGGCCATGAAGGAGGACGGATCGGACTGATCAGCGTACACCCGTCCTTTGGTCGATAGCCAGTCGGATATCATGTCTATGCCAGAGACGATGTAAACTGACATTTGAGAAACTAGCCCTATGTATCCGTTCTGAGATTTCGTCAGAGATCAAGCCGTTGGCGCTGGCTGATGGTACTTCCCAAATAAGTGAAGTAGTCAACATGCTGTACCAACCACTTCACTTCCTATTTCTAATCTAAGAGTCGGTGTAGTCCAGTCCTGTAACATCATCTTACATTTGGCGTGAGCGAATCGCATCCCAAACATTCGTAGATTGCAGCTGAAGGTGTTTAAAAGACTCTGCATTTTGTCAGCGTCCTCGCCTAGAAGGACTATATCGTCTGCATATTCTAAGTCAACGAGATTATTCCTACCTCGATAACAAGTCAATTTCTGAGTCTCTGTAGTGAGAGATTGACTTGCTGATAATAATAATAATATTATAATATTACTGTGCGTCGGTGGCACAGTGGTTAGAACTCTCGCCGACCATGCACATGGTCCGAGGTTCGATCCTCTGCCACCGACGCACACCTGATATCTACGGTCGGCTTGCAAAATTTGGGCTACGGATGATATCCATGCTGAAAATTTCATACTTGTACCAAAAGCACAGTGTGGAATGAAGCTGTAATAAAAAAAAATCATTGCAATGCATTTCTCGTGTAATCTGTGTGTACATGTCCGATATTTGCTGTTTTCTGCTAAATCAACTATTATCTTTTTTTCATTCACATGTGTGTTATAGTGGTATATCGAAAGAAGCCTTTGTAAATGCTATCCATGAAGCTTATGCCTACTTGTTGAATGAGTCGACTTCGTGTTGTTCTACACCTTCTACGTCTACAAGGAACACTTCATTATGGTCATCAGCACTGGCATCGATTGAATCAGATGGCAAAGCATGTTTAACTGCTTTAACTCATGATACTCTTCAATGGCATAATAAATTGTCAATAGCTAGTCAAGGTTAGTCAGTGGTGATTAGTTTATTCTCTTGGGTGTTTCACCTGTATAACGTAGGGCTTCAGCAGCCCATTTCCATATTGTCCCATTTTTTTTAGCTGTTATCTCTCCCCTCTCGGGGATACCCAAAACTCATTTCCCACTCGGTGGTCGTTCTATATGTGGAAAGGAGAGATTGAAAGGCGTTTGAGATTGTGAAGTAGGTTGTCAAGGCACTTAACTTGAAGTTCCTATTGTAACGAAGACGCTCTGAACCGATAATTACCTATGACTTTCTCGACTTTAACTCCAAAAAACATCAGAACTTCATCAGAAAGTTGGAATGTTTTGGCAATTAAAGTCTAGCTAAGTACAAGTTTATAAACAAATGTTTTATACAAAATTATAATGTACTATTATTTGTATTCTTTCGTCTTCTTCGAACTTGTACACGATTGAACTATTCGCGCCTTCGAGTTGGCTACCGGTGTAACAACAGAAGACAAGGGCCAGGCAACAGATCGTTTTATTATGAAAATCAACACGTATTTATATATATTTCCTGTACATTATTATAGCTTATGCAAGTAGACAAACTCAGTCATCTGATTGGTTGTTTATCAGAAGTTAAGCAGACAAACGCAGGTTTCTGATTGGTTGCTTTGGGATTCCTCGAAAAATAGAGTTCTCTATCTGCGAATCATATTTTGCCAGGTTAAGTCTGCTGTGATTGGCTGTTGAATCAGCCTTGCTCATATTTTCTCACGGTCTGCTCTCACCACATCAGCTCCAATAAATAAACGTTCATTGTTCACATCGATTGACACTGCCCGGCAAAAAAGGGTTCATCCCTTTTTTTTTCCATAGCGCTGATAACCTCGAACTGAACTGTCAACGCGGGAACCTGGGCCAACCGAGACTAGGCTAAAATGGAAAAGCAAGACACAAAAAAGCCCAACACACAACAAGCATATACTACATCACACCGGCACGCTCTCCCCAGCGTGTGGGATCTTCCTCAGTGATCGGAACTTTCCTTCTCTCTCTCTGTGTCGACAGTACCACCACAACTTATCTGGTCCATGGAACAATCCCCTCGCCGGTGTGTATCAAATCGCATACACTGACTCTAACACTAATCGATTCGTTCACAAGTTTAGAAGACTGGAAACGATTTCAGAAGTACTTAAAATAACATTACAAGATGATTCACACAAAATGCGACAACTATAAAATCAACCAACAATAGAGATTAATTGGAGCCCACTCAATTACTTAACACAAACACATATGTACAATCAATACATCAAATGTTGTGGATTCTACCTTGACGAGCTACCCTTGAAGAATTGTAGGACTTACAGGAGTACGCCCACAACCCTTCTCAGGTTGACACCCTTAAGTTGGAAAATCGTCGCAGAGTTCATTTTCTGACCTTCTTCTATCATCTATATTCTCAACTCTGATTGGTGACACGCCCATGACATATGTCGAATGAGATTTTGAACTCTCTAGAACTAATTTGATTGATTGATTGAAGTCAAGCCAATTATCTAATGTCTTACTCGTCGACGAATCTGACTACTCGATGTGGAACATTTTCACAAAATTAGTGTGGCACTGTTAAAGTTGTCACCCTGTGGAAAGATAGACACAGAGAATTAAAGGAAAGAATTTTGATGAAACTAAAATGGCTGGTGTGTGTGTGTGTGTGTGTAGAGAATGAAATTGAGGATTGGTGAACATGTTCATTCCCGCCAATGTAAAGAACTTCTCCAGCTGTCATCAACCAGTGTGTGTGTGTGTGTATGTGTGTGTGTTCTCTGAGCTTACCGGTTGCTGGTGCGATTACGAACCTTTCATTGTCTGAGTAGACGTCTTCAATGGTGACTTCAGTATAAAGTGAGTTTACTTGAATCTTAAATATGAGAATGACAAGTGTTGTTGGTTTGTATTAAGTGTTGACGACTGTTTTTAATGACTTAGGGTTCTACTCCTTTTTTATCCTATTGTGACGTGTACTACTGCTAAGACTTATCTGTAGTATATAAAGACACGTTCATCGGCATAAAAAAACGTCAAATAGCAGGGAGATAGATTTCATGTCAGAGAAAGAAAATGGTACAACGTTCCGCAGATACACATTGGAAACACGTGAAAGGAACACAAAGAGTCACAATATGAAGACCAGAAGTAACACAACACGGGAGATCTGTGCAAATAGTGCGGCGGTGCAGATAAGGTGTACATACCAAATTCCCTAATAAACATTCCTTTACTAGGTCTGTCGTCTTCCACCGTTACAATAGGACTTTTTGTTTAGTGTTTGTCTGTTGATTGTAGTTTTGTCTGAGTAGCTTACTTCCAGGGATGATTCCCTGGCATTCTTGGTGTTTCCTGTTGTCTAAGACTTATTTGTACGTTTTCTCTCAGTGGAATTGGTGTTCGAAGTTGTTTATATACATTGGTTTGTGAAAGAATATATGTTGTGTTTTGTGACTACTAGTTAGGGATCTTGGATTCGGCGTCATCGAAAGGGACACCCACTTTACGATTGACTTCATGGAGTGGTGAAATATTTTCTTCTCAGCATCAATAACAACTTTGAACTAATCAAGTGGTACTTGAATTATCGCCAGGGAAGGTGATGTCTTGGCATATTGTATAATATGTGACTTAGCTACCTAAATTGATGGAGTGTTTACAACTTTTTACGAGTTAGTTGATCACTGATTGATATCAGTTAGATAACCATTGAAAACCAGCCACATGGAGTACTGGACAGCTATCTGTTTCATCCTAGTTTGGGAATCTTCGGCAGTATGCACCCACTGACAGGGGTTCGAACCCAGGACCTTCCGGTTGCAAGGCAAGCTGGCTTGTATACCATTCAGCCTCTGCGACCCAATTCCATGCCCAGCCATGAATTCTAATTTCTACCAATTTGTGATACATTTAGCGCCGACCCCGACCAATGTCGTCGGTGGGGGGACAAGTTTATTGATTGAATTTTCGTTTCCACCCTGCCATCGTTATCACCACGTTTTTTATATCTTCGCGTTCCCAGTGGAATATAGGGCTTTAAGCTAGAGGCTTGAAGTTTATATAGCAGTGTTTATTTTTACAGGATGGGGTTACTAGCCTCATGCCTAGCCTTTCCCCTTTTTGCCGGCTTTATTTCTGGCTTAGGAAGGTAAAGAAGTGCGCCGGCCGGGGTCGAAACCCGAACCATGTGCGCATGGTCGGTGAGCGTCCTAACCTCTGTGCCACCGACGCGCATACAATCACATAATTACTTATCGTGTTGCCCCCCCCATCTCATTCCGATGCCTATGGCTAACAAAATCCTTACATTCATTAGGCATATCTTGACCGTAAATTATAGTAGGACGGATAGCGACTTACTTCGATTTCATCCTCAAAAGCAACTGTACACTCTCATTCGCATAAATAAGTGTTCACATAGTTATTGAATATTATGTATTTATAGGATTTCATCATGAAGACCATTAGAAAACCTGCAGGGAGTACTGGACAGCTGTTCCGTCCTAACTGGTTTTGAGACTCTTCAACAACAGTACGGACCTGTCGGGGATCGAACCCAATACCTTCCGGTTAGAGAGTGATCTCGTTGACAACCATTAAGCCACTGTAATCCAACCCAATGGCCAGCGCATTAATTCCAACTATTGTCGATTCACAGCTGTCCAGTACTCCCTGCAGGTTTTCTAATGGTTCTCTATTATTATTTATTACATTTAACATAATAACGAAAAGAGATTAATGGTGATAATGACTTTTGAATCGATATGAAAGTTTGAAGGTATCATGAACATATATTTAATTTAGTTTTAGATTTTTGCCGTCGAATGATTGGACCGAAGTGCTCGGTTTCAGGTTGACATGTCGGCTTCTTGTGCAGATGCCTTGACGATGTCTGGCCATTTAATTAGTATACAATTGGTGGATGGTGGCTAGCAGTGGAATCCATGACGTGCATTTCGTCCTGTTTGGGAATCGTCATCTGGACGTACCTGCATACCATTCCCCAGTGAGTGGTGCTGTTCCCATCGAAGGTCGAACCTAGTGCCCATAGTTTCAAACACCCTCAGGCCACGAGCCACCTCTTGTGCAACGGGTCATAATAATTATGTAATTCACTTGACGGGGAAATATCAACTTGAATTAAATAATCAGTATGATCCGTTGTACAGGAGGTGGCCAGCTGTCGTGGCCAAAGTGGTCTATGGAGGATAACGCCTTAGAGTTTGAAACTATGGACACTGGGTTCGAGCCTCGGTGGGAACTCCATCACCCACTGGGGAATTGAATGCAGGTACATCCCACTGGCAGACGAGTCCCAAGTAGGATGACATGCACGTCATGGATTCCACTGCTAGTCATTATCCACCAGTTATCGTGAATATAGATTACAAGGGAGGAGTGAGCATATAGATAAACTTAAATAAGATTAGATAATAGTTGCGTAATATATAAAATGGTTGTTTTTAACTCATACAGGTGTAAATGGTTGGGGGTGGGTGCCTTGCGCTGCGGGTTGGCCACCCCTCCGTACACCTCTTGAAATGCTCCCATATGACCAGGCGTCTTACATAGCCTCTCCTGAGGAAGTCCTACTCACTGCCTTCACATGGCGGAGGTGTCTTTTTTCACCACCGAAGTGAGAGAGCAAAAGCGGATGCCCGGCGCTCTTCACCGGGTTGACTGTCCATTGGATGACAGTCTAGGGGAGATGGCTAAACCCTGATTCCAAACCTCCAACTACTGGCGTATGAAGCTCACCGGAGCTCACCGGCAGACGTATGGACAAAGGGCTTGTTGGATGTCCTGGATGTCTGGCCCCATTCAAAAAGGCGTATGAACCGAACTCCGGTCACCGGCTGCCAATGGATAGTGGACTCCTTACTCCACTCCTATTGCCTTGTAGGTCACACTTGGCTGTGTAAAGGCTAGAGCTGCACTGTCAAACAAAAGGCCGAGCGATTCTGGGGACGTCACTCGTACCTAATTCCCATGAAACTTCATGAACTCTCTACAACATCAACCAAATTCCAGTACTGGTCCAACAACGTCGCGTTCGGTGGTTTGGCCATGATGTTCTGCACCGACCAGATGACGATCTGGTCAAATCAGTTAAAAATCCCTCGCCATTTCCATCTTGGCGATGTCGCAGGGGGGGGTGGACAGCTGAAAACATGGCTTGGTACAGTCAGTCAAGGCTGATATGGAGTCCCTGGGCTGGGGCTACAAACCGTCTACGGACTCCGTCGTCTGTGGAACAAGAATTGGATAACCCTGTCGCAAAACCTTGCATCAGATCGTCGCGCCTGGGCAGCAAGGATTCGAGTTGTTCATAAGGCCGGCTCATCCTCCCGTAGGAGATAGCCGAAGTAAAGTAAAGTAAAGCAAAGTAAGGAAATGGGATGTGTACATAGAAAAAATTGAAATAATAGTTCTTATTATAAATGAAGATGAAGAGAGAAGGAGGGAATAAAAAAAAGGTAAACAAACAGAACTAGATCCCTGGTACATGTAGATGTTGGACTAGTTTTATTTGAATCCGTAGATTCGGGTTCTCTGCAGTACATCAAAGAAGTCGGAATGAGAATGCCTTTGGTAGACTTTTGTTTTTGCTTTTAGGGAATGACTGTGAATAATGAGTCAGTTGAAATGATGCATTAAAAGGAGGTATACCGTCATAATAGCTTTTCTGACTGAATCAACCAGTACAACAACCTCTTTGCAGCTATGCTAGGTAGGTAGTAGTGTTCTCTAACATGTTTTAAAATGCAGAATCGCCTATGTACCTAGCACTACAATAGCGGGTAGAGATAAAAAAAAACGCCATTTTACATCTTCCTTTGAAGATGGAATCAAGATAGAAAATATGTTTTCTGAGAGTTTCTTGTTCTTTCCTCTCTCTCTGATTGATTTAACCGTGAAGCTATCACTGTCCCTCCTTCCCCACCCCACCCCTTGGCGCGCTAACTGACTGATTGGTTTGAAAATAGAACATTGCACAGGTGTGCACCAGTTTAACTTCTCACACCTCCTCCATATATTACACAAAGTAAGAGAAGAGAGTGAAAAGAGATTCCAGCGAGAGGGAGAGAGAGAGGGGGGGAGGTGACAAACAGAAGTGTGAGTGAGGGGAAAAGAATAGTAATGTGGAAGACCAATAGGGTTCCTTTGGATATGACTAGTAAGTCACAAAGAGTGAATGTATCTACCCCATTGACAATGATTTAGAGCCATATAACCAATTGTCTTCAGCCATTGATTCTTAGCATTTCGAAGAATCCAACTGGGGAACAGTTTGCACTTCTTTACATGGCTGGCTCGAACTTAACTGTCAAAGATTTTGTGGATTGATGCCATGTTTCAAGTTTGACTACCACTAGCTCTTTCCCAACCTGATCCCCTAGGTCATGTAACATTGTTAATCAAGGAAGGCAATGACTAGGGATGCATGCTTAACACATGTTTTAACCATCTCAATCGATGCGACTTCACAACCTCGTCGATTGCCTTCCCATCCATACCTACCACACAACCGAAGCCTCGTCCCAATATTGCTGACCTTATTATACCACCTAACATGACAGATAGAATGCAGACATCTGTGATCAAAGATAGCTAGCTGACCTTTTAATGTCTTCCAGTTTCATTAGTCATGTCTCCTAGCCAGCCATGAAGGAGGACAGAGTAAACTGCAGTTGAGCAGTAACACACGCCCTTTGGTCGACAGCCAGCTGGAAGTGACGTCTACTAAGTCGGAAATGGTGTAAACTGAAGTCATTTAGGATCAAGTCTGTTAGTACATCGATGATGAAATTAAACAGAAATGGAGACACATTGGGCTAGCATCTGTGACGGAGACCACTGGTTGTTATCACAGTTGTCAGAAGACTACTCTCCGTTGACTCTCATTTAGCTACATGACTTCGACACGTGTTTCACTGAACTCCCTGAGCACATCAACATTGAAATACCTATTTGAGGTACAAATTAGGCTTTTCTTCTTTTATAGAACCAATGAACAAGCCACAACAACAACAACAACTGCAACAACAGTCCAATGAATCTGAATCATCCACCCCTCAATCAACTAAATCATTTACTGGTTTCAATACAACACGTAAAATAAGCTTACGTAATTTACGTCAGGTTTGTTCTTTTTGTTTTATTGATCTGTCAGCTTTGCTCATTTTGTATATTTCACTGGTAAAATAAATACACACACATGTGGATCTCATTGGCTTAAGAACTCAACTTTCAACCAAGTGTGTCCTAGGGTTCGAATCCCAATCCATCTTACTTCAGCCTGAAGGCAACTGCATAGTTTCATTGGATCCTTACACATAATACAAGTGTGTATGACTCATAGTCTGGAACATAAGAGACATATTAAGGGAACTGAATAAGTTTGAGCAAGCTGGATACCTTCCTTGTGTGTGTGTGAGACCCTGCCTCAACCTCCACCGTCTCATCTACCGCCTCATAAGTATCAGTGGTCAAGGCTTGGAACTTTTGAGTGTTTTATAGACACCTTAAATCAAGCCGATTGTTTATAGAATCTAATGGCTTTGTGATGAAAAGTTTCATTGAAACATCTTAACAGTTAAGAGAATTTAGAAGAAGAATTATTATTTGTATACGTGCTTCCATTGAGGTTCATTCTGAGTGAAACCACAGGGCTTCTTCAACATCACGTTGCCATTTCATCTAATTCTCTGCAGTCCTGTTTAGCTGGTTCAACGACGGTCTATAAGCTTTCTTTCCCTCGTCTTCCTTCTCCTACTCTTACGGATATGTTCTTCACACCATTATCGGACTGATGCCCAACTCGTCTTCGTTCCCTATTTGCATTCCACTTTAAAGGCCTGTCATTCAACAGTCTCCTCAGTCTACTTTCAATCCATCTTGATTCTTCATTATTTATTATTATTGTTTCCTTTAGTTCCTAGAGGTACGTAGGGCTTCAACTGCACGTCTCCATTGCGCTTGGTTCTCTGACAACGTTTTTATCGCTTGGTTTCACGGTTGCCCACTAACTCGCCGCTTCCCATTCGAATTCCACTGGAACAATGGCCTGGCGTGTGACGGATGTCACTTGATGATGGTTTGTTTTCTCACAGAGTATGACCATCCAATCCGTCTCCATTTCTTTCTGCTCATTTGTTGCACAATCGGTTCCTGCTGGGTTGGTTTTTTCGTCCCCAGAGATCCCTCCCTGTTGCTGATCATTTCTGGTCGGCCATCTCATCTTGATTAGTATTGAGCGAAGACAGTTGTTGATGGTGGTGTGTAGTTTGTTCGACTTGCCGCCTTCGTGACGCGCTGGCCGAGTCTCTGATCCGTACGTATAGTAAGTAGCACTGACTTCACATTGGAGTTGAAAATCCGGATGTTATTTTCATTTTCATGCTGAGTGCTGTTTATATCTACACAGACTTGAGAGTAATGAAAGCTTGTCTTGCTTTCCCTATCCTCGCTTTGATATCCCCGATCAGTTCCTTCCGGTTGGTAAAGGAGGTTGCTTCTTTCTTTCCTCATTGCCAGTTGTCTATATCCATTTCGAATTAAAAAGTAACGCCACGGGAGGGAGTAAGGCAGAAAAAACAGATAAACAAGGAGGATGGTAATTTTTTACTGGCTTATAATGATTACGTAACAGCCCAAGATATGTATACTTCATAAATCATTAATATGGAGGGACGGTTGCGTAATCAATGTAAACAAAACTATAAATACAGTTTCCAAGGCAACCATATGTATAATGCATTATTGTTTTATTTCCGTGTTTAAATGTGTATGTGTGTGTGTGTGTCATGGACCTGTTTATGATGTCTTATGCATTTTGTACATGAGGTCTTTTGTGATTTATATCTCCTGCCTATTTTTTTAATGTGTATGATGTGTGTGTTCTCCGAACTGGCTAATTTAATTTGTGAAGCTTTCGTCATCTGTCTGGAAACACAGCATCTTCAACACATAGTGTTAAGTGAATTTGTGTGTTTGTGTGTAGAATATTCTGTGAATGATTAGAATCGCTCCCCTCCGGTAACTTTGACTGACTGTGATTGGTTGCTGTTTTAAGGGGATTTTCTTGTCCTTGTGTACTTGATGTTTGACTTTTGTCAATGTATATATGTGTCTATTGACTGAAGATTGATTCAAGTAGCAGGCTTGTAGGAATTCTCTGACGTGTTTAGTATTTCTGAGGTTTGAAATCCAGTCGAATTTTCAATACATACATGGTCAAGTCAGTCAGTTCTTCTATAGGGATCAGAAACTTCGAGGGCGGGCGGGTCACAAATAATATTTCCAGCGGCCTGTTGCAGACCTTTATTAACCAACAACTATCTTCGCTCGATCTATGCTGAAGATCAGATGGCCGGGCCGGTCCAGAAAGAATCAACAACAAGAAACTCTGACTGGGAACAAACAAACAAAACAAGAACCAACTGCCAGCCAACAAATATGCAGGAGAAATTGGAGATGGATTGGACACTCTCGGTTGAGGAGGCCGCTGGGTGACATCGCGCGAGCGTCAAGCCATTGCTCGAGTGGAACCCGAAAGGGAGGCGGCGAGTGGGGCGTCAGTACAAGAGTGACATGGAGGAGATCGTGTGAAGAGGAGTTGAAACACATTATGGACTAACATGGATGCAGGTGAAAAGTACAGCAGAAGGAAGACAGAAGTGGCAAGTGGAGACGTGCAGTTGAAGCCTTATGTTACACTAGGAACCCAAGGGGGAACAGTAATAATAATGTTAAAATTTTACTCTCCGTTTACTTTTGAGTAATGGGGATTCATTTACTAATCTGAACTTCTTTGTATTGTTTTTTTCGTTCTTCTAATATTTATGTAGCACCTTCAAGAATTTGCCGCTGCATCGCCTGGTCGTTCCAACGTCGCAACAACACTAACAACAACAAGGACTACATCGAGTTCATATGATAATAAAACAGAATGGGATATAACACGTAAAGAATTTCTTCAGTGGATTCAAGCAAAACTCAATGAATTAATACCTATAATGAATAAATTACCATTACATGAAGTATTCTATGGTCCATTATCCTATGACAGTAGTAGTAGTAGTAGTAGCCCTGCACTCACGAACACTAGTCATCCATCATCAATTCATTCACAATCATCATTATCATCAGCAGCATTTATTCGACGTCGTCTCAATCCTACCTATCAACTATATTTACAACAAGCACTTATTAATCCTGCTATCTATTTACAGGTTTTCTTTTTTATATTTTATACAATCTATGATACTTTTGGTGGTGTTGTTACTGCTGCCATTGTTGATTATTTATGTTAGAGAAACATTTGAGAGAGAATACCTGAGGTGTATTGGACAGCTGTTTTGTCAGTCTAGTTTGAGACTCTTCATTAGCGCACACCCAATGTTGGGGGGTGGGTGGGGTGGGGTGGAAGACGGACGTGTTCGAACCCAGTACCTTCCAGGTACATGATGAGCGCTAGTAGACCCATTAAGCTATAAGCCACTGGGATCCGTGTCAAATAAATGACTTGCAATGTCCAACTTCTGCCCGCCAATATCACGGATTCTGCTGGTTACAAATTCTCACTAGAATTCCTTACTAATTTGTGTCTAGGTTTCTAGTCGCTAGTGTAAGCATCAAATTAATTGTCAGCTGTTGGTTCTCAGGGATTTGATTGGTCACGGGATTGGGTTCGAACCCCGATGGCTGTGTACTGATGAAGTGTCCTAAAGTAGGACGAAACAGTTGCCCAATTGACGGTTACATATATGTGTTTGTTGTTGAAATTCCTAATGTGTTCGTAGAAATGTAGTCTGATTGTGGAAATGTGGTTCATTGATGACTGTCTGGCTTAAGTCACACGATCTTCAGCCGATGATGGATCACATTGGTTCGGGCTCCGGTCTCCCTACTGCAGCTTGGTTGGATTGTCTGACTGACTGACTGACTGAGTTCCAACTTATCGAACTTAGTGAATATGGGTGTTCACATCAAGAGTGAATTCATCTGCTCCGCTGACAATGATATAAGGCCTCTTGAAGAACTTAGCCAAGAAACAGTCTACACCGCCTTACATGTTTGACTCAAACCAACTGTCTAACATTTTATGGACTGGATGCCATGTAAACTGTGATATGTGATTCACTTCTTCATTGACACGCATTTCATGAAGGAACAAAAGGCCTCTAGCTTTGAACTCTCGACAGCAGTTGTGTAACACAGGGATATGAGACAAAAGGAATAGTAATAACCAATAACAAATATAGTTTCATTGGCTATTATAAATCACAAGGAGTGGATGCATCTGCGTTAGCCATTGAGAACGATTTTGAACCAGCCATATCACTGATTTTCTCGGACCATTGGTTTTTACTATCCTTATGACCCCAACCAGTCAGACAGTCTACACCTCCCTATGTGGCTAGCTTCAACTAACTGTTGTGGATTTCATTGACTGGTGAGGCCATGTTTTGGTTTGACCGTCACTAGGTAGCTGTTTTCCGGCCTGACCCTATGTCAGCTAACATTGCCCTTCGGTCGAGGAAGGCGGTGACTAGGCATACGTAACACATGTCCTAACCATCTCAGTCGATGTAGCTTCACAGCCTCGTCGATTGATTTCCCCTCCCTCATTACCTAACACTCGACCGACGCCTAATCTCAATATTGCTCACTCTATTATACCATTTAACACGGAAGATAGAACGCAGACATCTACACTCAAAGACAGATAGCTCGCCTTTTCATGCTTTCCACTTTCAATGGCTATGTCTTACTTACAGAGATAATGGGAAGACGTAGCAAAACTGCTGCTGAGCAGTACACACGCCCTTTGGTCGACAGCCAGTTGGATATCACGTCTAAGCCAGAGATGGTGTAAACTGGCATAGGTATCCGTGGTGAGATTATGTCAGCGATCAACTCGTTGACGTCAGTTAACGCAATTCTCCCAATAAGTGAAGTGGTGAACACACATCGTACCACTTCACTCCTGCCTATCTCTAAACTAGGAGTCAATGTGTAGTCAAGTCCCGTAGCATCATCTTACATTTGATAAAGGGAGCGGATCGCATGGCAAACATTCTGAGACTGCTGCTCCTCAAGGTGTTCAAAAGAACTGACACATAACTAGTGAATGCATTTAACACTTTTTCTTTTGCTTATTGCTTACATTAATTTAACGATTTGATTGTTGTAGTGTGTGTGTATGTGTACACCTTGTTTTCTTTCTTCTAATAGATTCCTGAAATGAAATTATCCATGTCACAGAGTACTTCATCAAAATTATTCGATTTATGCATATTATACAAATTGTTAATTGAAACATCAAGAATGGTCAACTTGTATGATTGGTTAATGGTAAGTATCTGTGTGTGTGTGTGTGTGTGCGCGTGGGAGTATGTATGTTATACCATATTTGATTACAATTCCTAACTTTTCATGTGATTATGTTGGCACCAAGAGATGTTGTACCACTCAAATTTGTTGTCTAATAGGCTTTGTACGAAGAACAAGATATTGCTTGAATGCCTGGACGCGGAAGTAGGTGGTTGGTTGTCTTAAGGAGACCGTCTTGCCTTGCCATCGAGCTTTTGATCTGAGGTCTGATAGTGAAACAGAGTCAGGTGGTGACCAAAACAGGTTCACACATACATACGTTATTCTATCTGTTTGGATTCTTGAACAGTCCATGTACCCAGCATAGGTTTGAAATCAGGGTTGGCCAGCGGCTTACCTAGCCTAGGGAGACCTGCATATCCAACAGCCAGTCTTGTTATATGTGCTGTTGACGTTCGTATTCAGTCTCACTTTTATAAAAAAAAACATCCCCACCACATGAAGGTGGTGAATATGACTTACCTGAGAGAGAGACTATGTGAACGCCTTGCTCACGTGAGAGCATTTCGAGAGGAGGAGGTCGAAATTCGTCTGCCCACTCTCGACCATATCAACTTGTTTTTATAGAGGGCACACAATAATGAACGAAACACAAACATGAAATACCTCAGAGTCAATTAGAATATTAATAATAATAATCTACTTTATTCCAAGACAAACAGTCTGTCTGGCTGTTTTCGACATAGAACTTTGCACCGATGTACAGCAAGTTCAAGTTGCCACACTCCACTCCTTGTAGCACACAAAGCAAGAAAAGAAAGTAGAAGAAATGCATAATAGAGACAGTAAACAGAGGTGTGTGAGACAAAGGAATAGTGATAACGAAGATCAATATTGTTTCATTGGTTATTCTAAGTCACAAGGAGTGGATGCATTTGCGCTATGCATTGAGGACGATTTTAAGCCATATCACCTGTTGTCTTCAGCTGTCAATGATTCTTGCCGCTTCGACCATAAAGTCGACACCTTCCAATGTTGTGGATTAGGTTGACCGATTAGACCATGTTTTGGTTTCACCACCACTGGCCTTCCCTTTTCCAAACCTGACCCTATATCAGCTAACATTGTCCGATGTCTAGGAAGGTGATGACTAGGTTAGGCATGAGTAACACATGTCGTAACCATCTCAGACGGTGTAATTTCACAGCCTCGTCACCGATTGATTTCCTCTCCTTACCTAGCACTTGACCGAAGCCTAACCTCAATATTGCTCACCTTATTATACCACTTCACACGAGTGATAGAGCGCAGGCACCTATGATCAAAGACATCTAATCTTTTCATGTCATCCACTGTCAATGGCCAGGTCTCTCTCACAGATATAAAGGAGGACGGAGGGAACTGCTGAGCAGTACACGAGAGAGCCAGGCAGGCTTTAGACCAGGAAGAGGGTGTATTGATTATATCTTCACCTTCCGACAGATTCTAGAACATAGGAATTCCTACCGGCGTTCAACAGTCATTATATTTCTTGACCTAAAGGCGGCATTCGACTCTGTCGATCGAGAAGTTCTCTGGAGATGCTTGGCTGTGAAGGGAATTCCGAGAAAATATATTGCACTGATTAAGGTACTCTACTCGTACTCATGCAGTCAGCCAGGTGAGGGCTTACGGCGAGCTGTCATCTGAACTGATGACGACCAGTGGTGTCCGTCAAGAATGCCCATTATCCCCTTTTCTATTCAACTTCATCATAGATGTGTTAATGGACTTAACCCTAGGTGACTTCAGTGACTCAGGGATTGACTTGCTACCGGGGAATAATCTCGTTGACTTGGAATATGCAGACGATATAGTCCTTCTAGGCGAAGACGCTGACGAAATGCAGAGTCTTCTAAACACCTTGAGCCGCAATCTACGAATGTTTGGCATGCGATTCGCTCCCACCAAATGCAAGATGATGTTACAGGACTGGACTACATCGACGCCTAGTTTAAAAATAGGAAGTTAAGTGGTAGAGCACGTTGACCGCTTCACTTATTTGGGAAGTACCATCAGCCAGCGCCAACGGGTTGATCTCTGACGAAATCTCAGCACGAATACAAGGGGCTCATTTCGCATTTGTTAGTTTACGCCGACTCTGGCGTAGACGAGATGTTCGACTATCGATCAAAGGGCGGGTGTACTGCTCATCAGTCCGCTCCGTCCTCCTTTATGGTTGTGAGACCTGGCCACTGAGAGTGGGAGACATGAAAAGACTGGCTAGCTGTGTTTGATCATAGGTGCCTGCGCTCTATTTCCCGTGTGAAGTGGCATAATAAGGTGAGAAACATTGAAGTTAGGCGTCGAGTTATGCAGATTCAGTGGCGATCTTACAACGATGATATACAACAGGTCAGATGAAAGACGACTCTGCGGTCACACAACTGTATTGCTTATTATGTGTCAGGGATTTTAAAAAGAAACCAACCAAGTTAGTTCCACGACGCAGACAACTTCCACCCCCCTGCTGACCGACCTCTGTTAACTTGACTTAAACATTATCAGGGTTTGCAAATCATAAATGACCCAGTGGTCTTCATTGGCTGGAACTGATGTTTCTGCAGGTTCTGGTCATGTCAGAAAGGTCGTTTGGATAGCAATTAGACTCAAGTCAATTACCGACATAATGTTTGGGGGAGGGGAACGGAGGTATGTGAAAGATATCGTAATGCTGGCGAATAAGGATATAACAGCAGCAGTAGGGTGTTTCTCTCAAATGACCACCAACCCTCCAGCAATTACCTTTTTTACCGTTCTAGGTAGGGGACGCATTGGTAAACGTCGATCCTGAAAGTTGTGCATTTCGACTTTGTGGCAATACGGACACGAATCCAAAATAGATCATATGTAACCTGCCTCAAACAGTTGTCGCCTGGACGGACTCTATTTCAGCTTTTTATCAAGAAGAAATCGGTGTTGTGACAGCTGTGAAGTAATAACCTGATCAGTTCAGTTGATAGGGGGAAAATACTAGTAATAATTTCTCATCAAATAGTAGTATTATATTATTATTATTATTGTTCCCTTGGGTTCCTAGTGGAATATAGGGCCTCAACTGCACGTCTTCACTTTCTTCTGTCTTCCGCTGTACTTTTCACCTGTATCCATGTTAGTCCATGCTGTTTCAACTCCTGATATAAGTATAAAACTTGGGCACTGTGGTAGAGTATAACTCCATTATGGATAATCATATCAAGTTGATATGATTATGAGCAATAGTTTGTGCTCGAAGCGGCATCAGTTAATATAACTGTACAACACTGTGTGATATATACAAATAAAATCTTATCCATAATGGTATTTCAACTCCTCTTCACACGATCTCCTCCATGTCACCCTTGTACTGACGCCCCACTCGCCGCCTCCCTTTCGGCCTGGTTCCACTCGAGCAATGACCTGACGCGCACGATGTCACCCAGCGGCCTCCTCCTCAGCCACGAGTGTCCAATCCATCTCCACTTTCTCCTGCATATTTGTTGGTTGGCGATTGGTTCTTCTTTTGTTTGTTTGTTCCCAGTCAGAGTTTCTTGTTGGTGGTTCTTTCCGGACCGGCCCGGCCATCTGATCTTCAGTATAGAGCCAGCGAAGACAGTTGTTGGTTAATAAAGGTCTGCAACAGGCTGTTGGAAATATTCTTTGTGACCCACCCGCCAATATTCTCTTCCGTATAGAAGAACTGACTGACGTGACGTTTGTATTGAAAATCCGATTGCATTTTGTTGTTGGTGGCTGGCTGAGTGACGAATATTTCGAGATTGGTTTCAGGTTGATGAGTGAATGTGTTTCTCGCTCGCCTTCCCGATTCTCGCTCGATTTGACATCCTGTTCCGTTCCAAATGCCTGTAGTTGAGACAATGCTCCCTCGCTGGATAAGTGAATGAAGTAACCTCTTTCAAATCCCTCCCGTTGATGGTGATTGGCTCTGGATGTTGCTGCTGCTGTTTTTGTTGTTGTTGGTTGGTTGGTTATTTTCATAACCTCCATCTTGTCTATGTTCACCTGGAGTCCTGTCTTCGCCGGCTGCCCCTTCGACCAGTTTGTCGGTCGGTTTTCGCTCACTTATAAGTCTTCGATTTTATGTGACATCAAACATAAATCATCCACGTGCGAAATGAAAGTCTTCTAGGTTCTTCACGTCTGTCCAAGATATCCCTGTCCGGTTTGTCGTTTCCCACTGTCTGGCGCATAATCCAGTCCCCACTACAATTAGGAATATCATTGATGATAATAAACACCCTTGTTTGATTCCTGTGTTTATTCCCGACGCCTCCCTGAGTTTTCCGTTGTGGATGACTTGACATGTACCGTTGTCGTACAGCTGTTGAATAAGGTTGATGAATATTTGGGGTAGTAGTGACACCAAATGTAACAGGAGTATTTATTTGGAATTTGATTTACACGTATAGGGAAATTATATATACCAATACCGAAATCGTCATTTGTACAAGAGAACTTCCATGTTGTGCTACTTCTACCCCCTTCGCGTATTCTCTTTCTCTGTCTTCTTTTGGTGTCGCCCATGTTTCACCGCGCAATACGCTGGTTCATTTGAGCCGCTTTTTGACGTCCAGTCTGTCTCTCCGCTGTTTTGATATTTTTGCCGTGTCTTTCTATACTAATGATAAATTTTGTCAGTAGCACACGTCACGGTAGTAGTAGAAGTTAACCTTTTTCCATGTCCAGTCATTACTGCATTATTACTCTTCTGTTGCTTTTTTTCTCTTTTCAGGCATTTGCAACGGTACTAGGTGAATCAGTTGACTTGGAAAATCCACCATCTCAGGAGATTCAGTAAGTGGAAGTCATATATATATATATATATATATATATATTTTGCCTCTGTGTACATTATCCGCTTAGAATGTGCTTAGAATAGCAGTCTCCTCTTCACCTAATTCAACTTCATCGACTTTGAAAAGGCTTTCGACAGTTCAGCATCGATCGAGAGGTGATTTTCAAACTGCTTCGCTACTTCCGAAGGGTGCCGCCAACAATTATACATCTCATCCAGCATTTGTACGATAATGCTGCATTCCAATTAATCCACAAAAGGGAAACTCACGGAATCCTTTGAAGTAGTGAAGACGGGAGTAAGACAAGACTATCTGGCTGCCTACTATCTCCAAAGATTTTCCTGATTGGGGTAGATTGCATAATGCGACAGACAGTGGCGGGCAACGAGAAAACACAAAAAACTTGGAGGACCTGGATTTCGCCGATGACATATATGTGTTTGATTTCCCACAAACTGGAAGATATGCAAGTGAAGAGCAACAAGTTGGCAAAAGAAGCATCAAAGATAGGAGGGACTTCAGGTGAACATAGAGGAAACAGAGGTGATGATCAAGATTCCTGGCCAACAGAAACAGCGACAGACAACAATCAGCATAAATAGGAGAAACTAGAAGGAAGCTACCTCCTTCGTATCTTTTGGAAGCATCGTTTCAACTACAGGCGGACGGAAGTAGTGAGTACATCATAAAAGCGAGGATCGGGAAAGCAAGGAAAGCTTTCACTACTCTCAAGTCTGTCTGGAAAACAACAACACTCGCCATGAAAATGAAAATACGACCCGAATCCAATGTGAAGTCAGTGCTACTTACTATACGGATCAGAGAGTTGGCGCGTCACGAAAAGCACTTCGAACAAACTAATTTTTTTATTTTTTGATTACAGCATGATTCCACACTGTATTTTTGGTACAAGTATGGAATTTTCAGCATGGATGTCGTTAGCCCAAATTTTGCAGGCTGACCACTACACACCTTAATCAACAGTCAGCTGTCTTCGCTCAATACTACTCAAGATGAGATGGCCGGCCAGAAAACATCAGCACCAGCAGGAACCGATTGTGCAACAAATAAGCTGGAAGAAATGGAGGTCTGTCTGTCTGTCTGGATTCAACATAGAACTTGGCACCGAAGTGCAGCAGTTCGAGTTGCCACGTTCCAAATAGCACACAGAGGTAGACAAGAAGATGAGTGAAGAGAATCAATAGAGTTTGACAAGTATAAGAGTGAAACAGAATGGGTAATGGTAGAAAGGAATATGAAAGATTACAGAGACTGAATACATCTGCGCTGGCCATTGACAACGATTTTGAGCCATGTCACCTATTGTCTCCAGCCATTGATTCCTAGAGTCCCGAGGGCCCCAACCCGGGAGTCTGCATCTCCCTACCTGACTCAGTTTAACTGTCAAGGATTTCATGGATTGATGAGGCCATGTTTTTGTTTGGCCACCACTGGCTCTTTTCCAACCTGAACCTATATCAGCTAGCAATGCCCGTCGGGGGAGGCGGTGGTTAGGCATGCGCAGCACGTGACCTAGCCATCTTAGTCTATGTAACTTTATAGCCTCGTCGATTGATTTTCCCTCTTTGCCCAACACTCTACGCCTAACGTCAACATTACTTACCTTGTGAAACCACCTAACGTGAGACAGAGATCGCAGACATCTATGATCGAAAGCAGTCAACCTTTTCATGTCTTCAACGCGTATTGGCCATGTTTCAGAGCCATAGAGAAGGACGGAGCGAACTGATGAGCAGTACACACGTCCCTTGGTTGATAACCGGATGTCACGCCTACGCCAGAGATGGTGTAAGTCAGCGAAAGCAGCTCGAGCTTTTCGGATCCGTGCTGAGATTTCATCGCCAATCAGTCCGTTGGTGCTAATACAACTTCCCAAGTAGGTGAAGTGGTCAACATGTTCTATCACTTCACTCCCTATCACTAAGTTAGGGGTTGACGTTGTCCAGTCCTGTAGCAGCATCTTACATTTTGCAGGGGCGAATCGCATGCCAAACATACGAAGATTGCTGCTCAAGGTGTTCAGAAGACTCTGCATTTTGTCAGCATCCTCCCCTAACAGGACTATGTCATCTGCATATTCTAAGTCCATTAGATTATTCCCTGGTAACAAGTCGATTCCTAAGTCACTACGTTCAGTTAAGGATACTTCCATTAGCATATCTATGATGAAGTTAAACAGAAATGGGGAAAGTGGACATCCCTGTCGGACACCACTGGTTGTTACCAATTCAGATGACAATTCCCCATAAGCCCTTACACGACTACGTGAGTTTGAATAGAGTGCCTTGATTAGTGCAATGTACTTTCTTGGCACTCCCTTCACAGTCAGACATTGCCATAGTACCTTTCGATCCACGGAGTCGAAGGCCGCCTTCAAGTCAAGAAATATGACAATTGTTGGACGCCGAAAAGTGTGTCTATGTTCTAGAATCTGTCGAAGAGTGAAGATATGATCTATGCACCCTCTACCTGGTCTAAAGCCTGCTTGATTTTCCCTTGTCTGTTCCTCCCGAGTTCTGCTTAGTCTATGCATGATTACTGAGCCTAGGATTTTAGAGACTATGTTCGTTAGGCTGATCCCCCTATGATTATCACACGAGGACTTGTTTCCCTTCTTGAATATCGGTATAATAAGTGACTTACCCCAGTCTGATGGTACTGTCTCTGATTCCCAGACTTTGCCTAGTACCTCAGTTAATCTACAAACTAGTATGTCACCCCCATATTTAAACACCTCCGGAATAATTCCGTCGGGTCCTGCCGCTTTGCCTCGTTTCAAATTACTGATAGCTTTTGTAACCTCACCTACAGACGGCGGACCAGTGTCTATATCCCATTCGGGTGGATTGGCTGGTCATAGTCTGAGGAAACCATCAAGTGACATCACTAGGGAAGCCATTGCTCGAGTGGAACACGAAAGGGAAGCGGCGAGTTGGTCATCGGTGCAAGGGTGACTTGGAGGAGGTAGTCATTTGAAGAGGAAATGAAAGCATGTAGGCACACTTGGAGCCAGGTGAAAACTCTAGCAGACAACTGAACGCAATGAAGACGTGCAGCTGAAGGCCTGTGTTCCTCTAGGAATTAAAGGAAATAATAATATAATAATAATAGTTTCGTGACTGAAACAATAGGAAATGCTTAAGAGTTCAAGCATTTTGTGGGGTAGGAACTCCGGTATATAAGCCCAGTGATTTGAGCAGACCGCCCTTTTCAATCAGTATTATTAAAAACCAAAAATAGTGTGTTGTTGGTAATATTTATTGCATAACTACTCTGGAGCCTGATATACGAAGAGAATATTCTCTTTTCGCTAATTCTTATCTTCAAGTCAAGTTTATTACCAGCCCCTTATTTTTCTGCATAAGTGGCAAATGTTTCTTAGCGATTTGTTTCTCGTTTACTGATTTATGTTATCGAGTAGTATGAATCGTTTAAATAAATAATCAAGTGGTCTTAGAAACCACTGGAATTTTCATATGAACACATATACACAGAGGTTTAAATGACTTGTGTCCAACATGTATGCTGAAAAAAAGAACAGTGATATTAGATGGGTGGAGTTAGAGACATAATCACTTGGTGACACGATGAGTTCGAATCACAGAGGGGACATGAGTTCCCTTCAAGATTTGCTGCTGATACGCCTTGCTGACTGCTATGGTGACTGCTAATCAAGCACGAAAACTAGGTCAGACAAGTCTTCCTGTGGTCGAACGCCTCCAACCATGTGTATAACGACAATTCAGAGAGTACACCACGCTATGGTAAGCCATCTAGCGTTGTGGCCACATTTCAAACTTGACTGATAGAATTCCAGTTTTGGTTTGTGGGGATTTGGTTGACTGGTTACAGGCTTTCATCATGAGCTGACATTAATTAGAGAACCATTGGAAAATCTGGGAGTACTGGACAGCTCTTTCGTTCAAGCTTGGGACGAATCCCGATGTATGCGTACGGATGAGGGGTCCCAAATTCGGACGAAACAGCTGTCCAGTTTTTCCAGGTTTTCCGATTGTTCTCTTACCATTGTCAGCTCATGATGATAGAATTCAGTTTGTCTCGTCAGAGACTCCAATTATGTAGTAATGCTTGGCTTGGAAACAAAAATTCTGACAGAGTATTTATTCTGTTTGAGATGATTTATCATGTTTTTATAACAAAAATTTTGTATCGTTAGTTAGAGAGTGTGTGTAGCAATGGGCTTCGTCACTTGGGTTGTCCTTAAGGAAGCTGAAGTGGTTGTAGCATAATTGGAGAGGGGTTATATATATATATGACAATGCCACGTGTGTCAGGTGATTGATCCACAACAGAAAATGCAGCCAGTCGTTTGAAGTGAGAGATAAGGGGCTGCCAGCCTTTTATCACTGATGTTATTCTTAATTGTGGTGGACTGACTGGTTTATGCGTCAAACTGTGAGTGGGTGAGTCTGTCTGTCTGGATTCAACATAGAACTTGCCACCGAAGTGCACCAGTTCCAGTTGCCACCTTCCGAATAGCACACAGAGGTAGACAAAAAGATGAGTGAAGAGAATCAGTATAGTCTGACAAGTATAAGAGTGAAACAGAATGGGTAATGGTAGAAAGGAGGAATATGAAAGATTACAGAGATTGAATACATCTGCGCCATTGACAACGATTTTGAGCCATGTCACCACCTATTGTCTCCAGCCATTGATTCCTAGAGTCAGTCCCGAGGGCCCCAACCCGGGAGTCTGCATCTCCCTACCTGACCGACTCAGTTTAACTGTCAAGGATTTATTTCATGGATTGATGAGGCCGTGTTTTTGTTTGGCCACCACTTACTCTTTTCCAACCTGCACCACCTATATCAGCTAGTAATGCCCGTCGAGGGCGGGGGAGGCGGTGGTTAGGGATGCACACCACCTGACCTAGCCATCTTAGTCTATGTAACTTTATAACCTCGTCGATTGATTTTCCCTGTTTGCCTGCCCAACACTCCACGCCTCCTAACGTCAACATTACTTACCTTGTTAAACTACCTAATGTGAGACAGAGATCTCAGACATCTATGATCGAAAGCAGTCAACCTTTTCATGTCTTCTACTCGTATTGGCCATGTTTCAGAGCCATAGAGAAGGACGGACGGAGCGAACTGATGAGCAGTACACACGTCCCTTGGTTGATAACCGTATGTCACGCGTACGCCAGAGATGGTGTAAGTCAGCTGGAGCAGCAGTTCGAGCTTTTTGGATCCGTGCTGAGATTTCATCGCCAATCAGTCCGTTGGCGCTGGCTGATATGACTTCCCAAATAGGTGAAGTGGTCAACATGTTCTATCACTTCACTCCCCCCTATCACTAAGTTAGGGGTGGGGAAGTGAGAATATAGGAATACATTGAATAACCGATAAGAAGACTCCAGAAGATTTGGAGTTCTCGCGTCGATGACATATATTTGATGTCACACACACACACACACACACACACACACACACACACCCGTAAACTTGAAGACGAAAACCAAAAAGCTGGGAGAAGAAGCAGGTAGGCAGTGAAGACAGGATTCCAGGTGAACATAGAGAGAAAGGGAGAGAGAGGATGAAGGTGGGTGATGAAGATAGTCAACCAGCACCAATTAACATCATCGGGGGGGGGTGAGGGATTCAACAGAGGTTACTTCCTTCACTTATCTGGCTAGGAAGCATCGTTCCAATTACAGGAGAACGGCACGGATGAAGATATCAAAATCAATTAGAATCGGAAATCAGGGATACGCCTTCATCAATCCCCGAAACCATTTTGAAAAATCTTCTGCACTCAGCCTCAGCATAAAAAAAAAAACAAGATTCGGATTCTATTCAACACAAATGTGAAGTTGGTTCTTCTATACGAGTCAAAAAAACTTGGCCTTTGTGTCACGAAGAGGATCTCCAACAGGTTGTAGACTTTCATCAACAGCTGTCATTTTCTATGGCTGGGGGTCCATCATACTGAAGAAGATCAAATCGCCAAAACCGGCCGGCTAGAAAGAATTACCAACAAGAAACTTTACAGTTCAAAAAAACCCAATAAGCCAGACCCGATCACTCAACAACAATATGTAAAAGCAAACGGGGATCGATTGATCGGGTCATCGAATGACATCAGACACTTAGTACAGGCCATTGCTTGAGTGGAATGCCAATGGGAGGAAGCGACAAATGGGTCGTTGGTGGTGTAAAAGTGACAATCAAACATGTACCTTAAACTTTATAGACTTTATAGAGAACGCCTTCGACAGTTAGCGTTGACTGCGAAGTAATTTGGAAACTACTCGAGTACTACGGCGTACAGTGCCCCAAATATTCATCAACCTTATTCAACAGCTGTACGACGACAACAGTGGCACATGTCAAGTGATCTACAACAGAAAATTCAGTGAGGCGTTTGGAGTAAACACAAGAGTCAGACAAGGGTGTTTATTATCACCCTCCAATGATATTCCTAATTGTAGTGGGGACTGGATTATGCGTCGTCAGACAGTGGGAAACGAGAAACTGGACAGGGATATCCTGGACCCTGACGTGAAGAGCCTAGAAGACTTTCATTTTGCGCGTGGATGATTTATGTTTGATGTCACATAAAATCGAAGACTTACAAGCGAGCGAAAACCGACAAACTGGTCGAAGAAGCAGCCGGGGAAGACAGGACTCCAGGTGAACATAGACAAGATGGAGGTTATGAAAATAACCGACTAACCAACCAATAACAACAACAGCAGCAACATCCAGAGCCAATCACCATCAATGGGAGGGATTTGAAAAGGTTACTTCATTCAGTTATCTAGGGACTATTGTCTCAAATACAAAAGGAACAGGCGAGGATGTCATATCGAGCGAGAATCGGGAAGGCGAGAAACACATTCACTCATCAACCTGAAACCAATCTGGAAATCTTCGTCACTCAGCCAGCACCAACAACAAAATACAATCGGATTTTCAATACAAACATGGTCAAGTCAGTCAGTTCTTCTATAGGGAAGTTATGTACTCGTCGACAAATTTTTGTTATGGACTGGTCGAGAATTTAATAGTCCTGACGCAAGAAGGCGGAAATCAGAAGACCACTAGGTTTGCGATGATACTTCTATTTTTCCAAACACTAGGAGGAGCAAAGTGATAAGTAAGTGTCACACAAATTGTGAGAACGAAATATATATATATATAGCAAAATATAGCAGACATGTCAACAACCACCATATATGGATATATGTCACTAAGCAACGGACTGTCAACAAACACTCATATTATATATAATATAATATAAGGAGAATATACATTGATAAAGGAGACAAGTTCATCAAAGTGAAATGGTCACAGACTAAGCGAGAAAACAGAAAGAGAGACCAACATACACACACATAAATATATATATATATGTGGACACATATGAAGGGGATCAGAAACTTCGCGGGCGGGCGGGTCACAAATAATATTTCCAACAGCCTGTTGCAGACCTTTATTAACCAACAACTGTCTTCGCTGGCTCTATACTGAAGATCAGATGGCCGGGCCGGTCCGGAAAGAACCACCAACAAGAAACTCTGACTGGGAACAAACAAACAAAAGAAGAACCAATCGCCAACCAACAAATATGCAGGAGAAAATGGAGATGGATTGGACACTCGTGGCTGTGGAGGAGGCCGCTGTGTGACATCGCGCACGTCAGGTCATTGCTCGAGTGGAACCAGGCTGAAAGGAAGCGGCGAGAGGGTCGTCAATGGAAGAGTGACTTGGAGGAGATCGTGTGAAGAGGATTTGAAACACATTATGGACTAACATGGATGCAGATGAAAAGTACAGCAGAAGAAAGACAAAAGTGGCAAGTGGATACATGCAGTTGAATCCGTATGTTCCACTAGGAACCCAAGGGAACAATAATAATGATATATAAAGTGGACAGTTGGCGAATCATTCCTAGTGTAACGTATTTTCATTTGGTTCGATAAGTAAAGCCTGCATTATCAATCTCTCCTTCCACCCTGTTGTACATTATATTTTAAGACTAAGATCTTGTCCCATCTTATTGTATGCTTTTGTGTTGTGTGTAAGTGCATGCAGTACTACAGGTGATCTTTTTTCTAGAATTCTCACCGTATAACAGTCCAGTTGATCTCCTGATCTGCTAAATTGACCTATGTAATTTACAGTCGTCTTTTTTTGACCCGTAAGTCAATAAAGTTTGTCTCAGATTAATCTAGTTGGTCGATTGTTTTAAATGCCAAACCTAATTCCAGCCTTAAATAAGAATCCTTCGTTAGTGTGGGGGAGGGGGCTACTGATAGTTTCTTCCTCTCTCTCAGGTGTATACATGACGGTATACTATCAAGACTTTAAATTTCATACATTTGGTTCCTTTGATAAATCTCGATAAAGAAGGTGGGGAAGATGAAATTTGCAGTATAAAATGACATCATCATTCTATGCCACAGGTTGTCATCAACTGTCGCAAACTACCTGAAGTTATTACAATATCACGTGCTGCGCATGCCTAACCACCGCCTCCCCCACTTGACGGGCATTGCTAGCTGATATAGGTGCAGGTTGGAAAAGAGCCAGTGGTGGCCAAACAAAAACACATAGCATCAATCCATGAGATCCTTGACAGTTAAACTGAGTCCGTCAGGTAGGGAGATGCAGACTTCCGGGTTGAGGCCCTCGGAACTGACTCTAAGAATCAATGGCTGGAGACAATAGGTGGTGACATAGCTCAAAATCGTTGTCAATGGCCAGCTCAGATGTATTCAGTCTCTGTAATCTTTCATATTCCTTTCTACTGCATTACCCATTCTGTTTCGTTCTTATACTTGTCAAACTCTATTGATTCTCTTCACTCATCTTCTTGTCTACCTTTGTGTGCTATTTGGAACGTGGCAACTGGAACTGAATTCAGACAGACAGACAGACAATGGTTATATAAATGATAATAACATACTTTAATGTCTGATTGCTATTAGAGAAAAAATACTATAAAACTGACACATGCGAAGTGTAAGCATTACAATTTTAAGTTTAATTTTTCATCATCATCAATTTACACACTTTCAAAGTGTGAAAATAGAAGGGAGGGATAAGACAGAAAACAGAAAAAATTGATTAACAGAACAGTGTTAGCTTGTAGCTTGTTGACTGACATAGCAACTCAAGAAACAAAAGCGGTTACAGTTTATGAGATTAAGATTTGTGCCAGTGAGTTGAGATCACTGAATTAGATGACTAATCAAAATTCAAAATTCTGTTACCAAGGGAGTGAGAGATTAATCACACACACACACACTCTTTCTGTATGCATAAGTCTGGTTTAAGTCGTTTGATTGCGATCGCTTCGGCAAATCGTGGTAAGTTTGCTTGCTGTCCTTTGTCTATTTAATATTTTGAAGGACTTATAAATCTCTACGAAATGTCCGGTATCAACAATGTGTCTGATCATTGCACTCTGGGAATATCTACTTCCTTTCAAGCACAGGTTTCTTCGAATATGCTCAGAAACCCAGATAGAAGCCCTTCTTTCTGTCCTTCCAATGTACTTGCTCCCGCAAGTGCACGTGGATTCATAAACGCAGTTGGAAGTGACATCAGCAGGGTATTTATCCAGTTTAGATTGGCTTACAGAAGAAAGCGTATAAATTGATGTTGAAAACTTAAACTAAAAATTGTAATGCTGCTTAAATTTTGCATGCGTCGATTTTCATAGTATTTCTTCTTTACTACCATTTAAACATTAAAGTATGTAATTATCATGTATATAACTATTGTAATAATTTCAGGTAGAGTCTGCAACAGCTGATGAGGGGAACCTGTGAAATAGAATGATGCCATCACATTTTATACTGCACATTTCATCTTCCCCCTTTATTTATCAAAACTTAAAAGTTTTCTCTTTTCTGCTGTGTTTATTGCATTTTCAGATGTCGTTTCTTACAAGGATTAGCAGAATTACATTTTCTTGGTTGTATTAAATCAACACATCGAAAAATTGATCATGTGATGCGGTTACCATTGATATCAAATATAATTGAAGCATAATTTGAAAAGACGTCCTCGTCGTACTTGGTCTCGTTCGCACACACACACACACATTGTCACCGAAAGATGTTTACTTTTTAACCTTCAATGACAATGTTTTTTATGCCTATATGCACTCATTGACATACTTACACTCGCCTTTATTTGGCCTCTTCAGACTACGTAATGCTACCTATATAAAGTCATTCTGGTAATTCCGAAATTAGATTTTTTTTTATGTATGTGAAATGAACTGAGATATTTATTTGTCTTTATGTTTATGTGATTCTTGCATACATATGTCTGTGTATTTTTATATGATATATTGTATACAAATCAATAGTGTGACTTGTTTTTTGCCTAACTACTCTGAAGTTCACGAAAGCATTGGATGTGTACCTCTTTTTAGCGACTGATGTTATTTTTATCTACAATCGGGATCGAGGGGAAAGGGGGAGGGTATAGTGTTAGAAAGTACAACAGTTTCAATTTTCAAGAATTGGTTTGAAGCGATTTGATTGATTGGTTATAGGATTTCATCATCAACTGACATATTGATTAGAGAACCATTGGAAAACCTGCAGGGAGTACTGGACAACTAGCTGTTTCTTCACACTAGTTTGGGACTGTTTATCAGTACGCACCCACCACAGGGGAGTTCGAACCCAGGACTTTCTGGTTACAAGCCGAGCTAGCTTGTATAACATTAAGCCACTGGAACCCGATCCAATGGCCAGCCCATGAATTCTAACTTTTGCGAATTCACTCCAGAGAGCGACCGCGAGTATTTGTCCTCACACCCTATATGGTGCACCCTACTGGTCACGACTTCCCACTGGAACCCTAGGTAGCTACTATCTACCTGAATAGTGCCAGTCGCCAGTGTGCATCTCATTGATATGTAATTATTGGTTTGTAGTTTCAATTTTGTTATCTTATTCTGTGGACGAGAAACTAAAGTCTTTTCAGTATTTTTTTGGAGATCGGAACTAGGATCAATTTTTTTTTTATCTGGGGAGTTTAAATCGAATCGATTAGTGATGATGTAGCTTGAAGTGATCAGTCAATTGTCTGGAAAACAATATATTTGAGAATGAATCCAATCAACCTGAATTATAACTGATCATAAGATAAGGTTGTTTGGAATTCTTTAGTGATAAGTTGTGTGACCAGTGAAGCTCCATGGTTCATGAAATTTTTCAAGAGAATGGTTACTAAACAAAGAATATGCTTTTCGTTAACCTGCTCTTTATCATGTTGTACAATTATATATCCATCCATAATAATCAGTCCGTTGTATTAGCACCAACGGACTGATTGGCGATGAAATCTCATCACGGATCCGAAAAGCTCGAGCTGCTGCTCCAGCTGACTTACACCATCTCTGGCGTAGGCGTGACATCCGGTTATCAACCAAGGGACGTGTGTACTGCTCATCAGTTCGCTCCGTCCGTCCTTCTCTATGGCTCTGAAACATGGCCAATACGCGTTGAAGACATGAAAAGGTTGACTGCTTTCGATCATAGATGTCTGCGATCTCTTTCTCACGTTAGGTGGTATAATAAATAGGGTAAGTAATGTTGACGTTAGGAGGCGTAGAGTGTTGGGCAAAGAGGGAAAATCAATCGACGGTTCTATAAAGTTACATAGATTGAGATGGCTAGGTCAGGTGGTGCGCATGCCTAATCATCGCCTCCCCCACCCGACGGGTATTACTAGCTGATATAGGTGGTGCAAGTTGGAAAAGGGTAAGTGGTGGCCAAACAAAAACATGGCCTCATCAATCCATGAAATAAATCCTTGACAGTTAAACTGAGTCGGTCAGGTAGGGAGATGCAGACTTTCTGGTTGGGGCCCTCGGGACTGACTCTAAGAATCAATGGAGGACTTAATCATGAGCTGACATCATTTAGAGAACCACTGGAAAACCTGGGAGTACTGGACAGCTATTTCGTCCTAGTTTGGGACTCCTCAGCAGTACGCACCCACCGGGATTCGAACCCAGGACCTTCTGGTTACAAGGCTCGTACAAATAATCGAAATTCATTAATTTATAGTCTGTATTGAAGGCTGGCTAGGGCTGGATGGAGTTACTTCTTTTTGCACAGAAAACACTGGTTGTTTCAAGCCTTTGCTGGACTAGCTAGTCTAGGTACTTCATCTTTTAATCGAGGAATCACCATCTGTCGTGTAGAAAACATGACTGAACTAGCCACTTCTAAATGTATCTGTCAATTCAACTGCGCTTATGGTATATGATGAAACGAGGTTGTATGAGTCGTGGATTGGAGGTGGTTCTCGTTACCACGACGAGGCTATGTTAGGATGTCTCCTATGCGCAAGAGTCCTAATAAGGTGTTCCTGATTTCATAGCCTCGGAGAAATGCCAAGGGTACGATCTGCCTCGGTAATCAAAACAAAGAAAAATTCCGCGCAGTAAAGTGGGGGAGGCACTGGTTTACAGCGACCGACCCCGCTTGCATTGAAATATACTCGTACTCCTCTTCCGGCCCTAATATTATGATAATAATATAATTATTATTACCATAATATTAGAGCTTGGGGTAAACAAACAACTATCTGTCAGTTCAGCTGCGCTTATGGTGGAGCGAATCATATTGGCTGTCACTCTAGGAACTTGATTTCTCGTGCTCGTTTGGGAACATCTACCAGTGTGGCTAAGTAAAGGTGTAGTAAAAATCATCAACAGTTCCATATTAGACCACATGGTCCAAATTCGACACAAAAGCAGCATTGAAGAATCCTTTTCTACCATCTACAGGGTACCAAATAAATTGCCAAAAGCATCCAAGTACTGCATATTTCAGACAGAAGAGGCTGTCACGATTCGCCTTAAACAACCGGTGCTGTGTGTGCAGAAGAAGCAAATCCTCCAGCAAGCCACTTCTACTGCTCTGACCGGCCTCCAGTAGAGACTATATTCATATTCATAAAGAGTCTCTTCGCTGAACCTCTTCCCTTTTTCATAACAGCTGAAGTGGAGTTGCTCTGTTAAAGCCTTATGTTCCACTCGGAAATAATAATAAACTTCTTTTTCTTGTTTTGATTGCACACTATTCAGTAACTAGTGCCTTGTGTCTAGTCCTAACTTCGGTGCAGACTGAATTCCATCAGTCAGTCAAACTTGCAATGTGGCCACCATGCCACTAGGTGGTTGCTCACCATTACAGTCCACTGTGAGATGTTGGTATTAAATGGTTGGAGGCAATTGGCAGGCACCAAAGACACGACTAGACACATTACACTAGTGTGCAATCAAAAATATCCAATACAGTCCCACCAGAGGAGGTCAATCGCGAACCAGCCTGAATACCTCAGTGGTAACATTTGTCTCTGACTGCAGGGAATACTCACAGGGAGACGCGAGTTCGAATCTCAGAAGGAGGGGCATGAGTTCCTTGAAGATACGCCTTGCTGACTACTGACTGGTGAGTGCCAACTAGCACGAAACCTAGGTAAGCCAGGTAGGGCTTCCTGTGGCCAATTTCCTCCAACCATTTAATACCAATAATAAACTTCGTCGATATTCTTTACTGAAAATAAAATGAAATACTGAATAGCCAAAAATTATTATTATTATTATTATTATTGTATCCTTTAATTCCTAGAGGAATATAGGGCTTCAGCTGTGCACCTTCATTGCCTTCTGTTTTCTGCCAACTTTTTCACTCCGCTCCAAGTCTGCCCACATTCTTTCATCTCCTCTTCACATGACCTCCTCCAAGTCACCCTACCCTCGCACTGACGACCAACTCGCCGCCCGCGTCCCTTTCGGGTTCCATTTGAGTGATGTCACTTGATGGTTTCCTCAGAGTATGACCAGTCAATCCATCTCCATTTCTTCCCGCCTATTTGTTTCACAATCGGTTCCTGGTTTGCTGGTTCGCTCATTGCTAGAGATCCCTGTCTATTGCTGATCTTTTCTGGCCAACCATCTGATCTTGAGTAGTATTGAGCGAAGACAGCTGTTAATGAAGGTCTGTAGTTTGTTTGATATACTCTTCATGACGCGCCAAGTCTTTGATCCGTATAGTAGCACTGACTGACTTCACATTGAAGTTGAAAATCCGGATGTTATTTTTGATGCTGAGGAGTGCTGTTGACTTCCACACAGACTTAAGAGTAATGAAAGCTTGTCTTGCTTTCCCGTTTCTTGCGTTGATATCCTCATCAGTTCCGTCGGTCTGTAGTTGAAACGATGCTTCCCAGGTTAGGGTAGGTGGGTGACAGAGGTTGTTTCTTTCAGGTTCCTCCCAAATAGCCAAAAGAATAAATAAATAAAAGCAATCATTCAAACTTTTATTCAATGTATCAATGGAAAATAATAAATCATTGAAACAGTGAACAATGACTGCATTAATAATAATAATAATAATAATAACCACGGCAAATGAACACATGAATGAAAGCATAATTACACATAAATTTCTATAAAAGAAACAAACAAGGGAAAAATTATCGGAGTGGAATGTGAACGACTTGTGGATGAAAGGCAATCAAATGAACACAAAGAAGAAAAAAGACACAACCAATTGTGAAATCATGTATAATTATACGTGTTTCTGAATGAAGAATGACAAAGGGAAATGTTTTTGATACATTAACGAGTTAATTAGTTAGTCAGTTCGTTAGTGAGTTAGTTAGTTAACGAGTGAGTGAGTTAGTTAGTTAGTTAATGAGTTAGTCGATTAGTTAATTACTTCACTTCCACTAATTATATTTTGCTGAATCCTTGTAAATCAAGGCTATTAACAGATGAGAAGGCTTCGTTATTCCATATCAGTTTGTTTATTAGATGTATCACACAATGAGGGGAACAGTATTATTATTATTTACTGGATGACGAAGATTCGAACACAATTTATAATTGTTCATAATCATATCATCAATTACAGTTTTCTTTGTTTTCTCCTATTTGTCGCCGTTGGGGTAGTAGAATTTTCCAGATGTCCGGGTGAACAGGTGTTGAATCATTCCTATAACACGTTTTCTCAACCAGTTGATTCGATAAACAAAGCTTCCGCTGTTATCAATCTCTCCCTCCCTCCACCCTGTGACATTAGATTTTAAAACTGTCTCTCATCTTATCCCATCAAGCCTATTGTATGGTTGTGTGCAACTGCATGTAGTGAGTGGTATAGCTGCACTATTCTCTAGATTTCTTATCTTATTCGGGTCAACCAATCTAGATTTTGCCGCTAGGTTTTTATGCTCGGCTAGTCTGACTGCCCTTGTTCTAATAGTTTGACCTATGGATTTGACCTGACAATCATTGCAGTCAGGCAGGGTATTAGATAAACTAAATTGTTTCGTTTTAAAGGCTTCAC